GATCGTAGTGGCATTTTCTATTATATGATATGAACACCTGGACCGCAATTCGTCCTTGTCCTTTGTATCATGTTCAAATATCACATAATTCACGAGATTTGTTAAATAAAGTAATGTAGGTTGATACGAAGGTTTCAGATTTTAATTTCCTATCGAAATTGTACCTATGTTATATATATATCTTCTTGAGACGGTTCCGGATTCTTTTTACATATCCTGTCGAATTTTGCGAGGAAGATTTTGAAAGGTTTATGATATATTATTTTTGTGTAGTAACTGCATGGCTATGCATGTTGTTTCTTTCGTTTGATTTAGCATGATTAAAATTAGAGTTTTGCGTTCAGTGCCAGGACAAAACGATCGTGCGCGCGTGTGTATTCTACGCATAAAGGGAAATAACTCAAACTTGTTAGTTTGATATTAACAATCTATCTTATTGTAGATGGTGCCGATTGTTTATTTGTACCAACAATTAACGCATTTTCATGGCTTTTCAATGTATTTTATATAGCCTGTCTTTGTGGAAAATTAATCAAGCAATCGAAATGCTATCAAGTCAAAAACGAATGGAAGGGCGCAAAAATAACGTTTCCATCTTCTTAAATGTACATGTATGAAAAAAAAACACGCATGTAGATCATTACACTTTTTATTACTATTTGTTGACAATAAATTTGCATTTTCAGAGGTAATCAACTATCTTCTCTCTTTAAGGACAACTAAGTGTATTATTGATTTTATGAATCTACACTCATCGTTAATTTGATTTAGATACATTTTCATATATTTTGTCAAAATCTAGACATTGAATGATTACATGTTCTTAGAATTATAACCGTCTTCCCACACCAATGACGACGATGACAACAACAACAAAAATGACAACAGTGCTAAAGTTATTACAATAATTATTACAAAAACGATACTACTAATACTAACAAACAGTTGACATAAACACTGACACTATTTTTTTTCTCTCTTCATTTTAAAAACTTTTTCAAAATTTTATTTTTCTAATAATCTTATCTTCCTTATTTATTTATTTTCATTATTTTATACAAGTGTGAACAGTGTTTAGATTTATCAAATTTCAAGTTAGATATGTTTTTAGTTAAATTCTTCATTCAGAGAGTGAACATTTTATATAACAATATTTCTCTCACTTGTAACAGATGACACTCTAAAAATAGTGAGGTTTTCTCACAAGGACTAGCAGGGCCGGCTACAAGCTGTATAGAGATTACAACTGGGAGTTCAGATCAGCTGTGTGTTACTTTGAACGTTGCAGCAACAATGCAATAGTATAGAGGAGTACCAACATTATAGATCTGTACATAATATCCAGCCCGTGTAGGAGACTGGGTGTAACGCCGAGATAAATGTTACTGCTCCCAGCCCCTTCCCTCAACAACATCACCTTTCAGAATCGGGGTTGGATGGGGGATGAAGTTAAAATAGATTTGCAGCCACAATGGAAGATCTTGGGACCTTGATGTTTTCTTTTTCTTTCTTGTATTAATTTGACACCGTCCTCATACGACCCTGGCTGTGGCGAGGACGTTAAACGCAGTAAAAAAGCAAGCAATACATTGAAATAATCTTTCGTGTTATACCCATTCTGATAAATATCGCTGGGTTTACCCCCTCTTTTTTGTCGATGTTATGAGCTGAATTCATTTGTACATACTATGTATCGTAATAACATTTAGATTTTACTTGATTTCCTTAAATCTGAACAGATTTCACATTTTAGTATACGATGAAAGTTCTATACAATGTCATCACTGTTACATTCTTTATTGTTGTATCCTCAGGCGGCCTTCTGATTGTTCTTACTATCTACCAAGAAAGAGAACTACACCGTTGTCTGAGTTTTGTGTCTAAGGAATTTAACTTTGGTTCCCCAAGTCCATAAATCGGAGTGGTAACTATATGTCAGGATCAAAAAAGGGCATATCTAAAAATGGTAGAAATTTCCGAAAGTTCATGATCTTCTTCATAGCAATATATATAACAGATATTCTTATGTGATGATTTTACTGAGCATTCATCCTATCTATAGCTGTTTGTTATACTAGGCTTTTATTCCTCACTCCGTATTACACACACAGACAAAAAATAAAAATAAATAAATAAAAAACACACGCTTACCCAAAAGGAAAAACTGCGCATATTTACACATTCAAGTCTGTGATTTTTATGTCGTTCTAGATCGTTAAGAGGATAAAAGAAGGAAAGAAAGAAAGAAAGAAAGACGCCAAACTTCGCACAATTTGACATTATTTCAATCTTTAATCAAAATCATTATCAATTAATAACACATATATCATTACATTAATTTATTAATTTCTTTAAAAATAAATCCCCAATCAAGAACATTCCGTGACACCACAAGTTTTTTATGAAATGACCTTATCCATAAGGATCGTGTTAATGGATAAGGTCTGGAAAAGACCCTGTCCTGAAAATGTATGTGTGACGATTCATCCATAATAGATTACAGGCTATTCGCCTACATTTGAGTCAAATGTTTACTAACATGAGTGTGTTTATCGTAATGACTGGTATAACAGTGTGAATGTGTGGGTATGCATGCAAATGAGGGTGCACATTCCATAGGTATGTTCTAGAAAATTTCGGCTTCCACTTTCCCTCTCTGTTCCTGAACATTTTATTTAAATATCATACAACTACACGGTTTTTTTCGGTAATAAATTTGCTTTCCAAAGATTAAATTATCATGAAATCCCAGATTTTATAATAAACAAATAACGTGTCAATTTCAATATAATATCAGTAAGCGAAAGAGACCTGTGTTTCCTGATTCCCGACCGTCCCTATCTTTCTGCTACAATCTGCCTGCCTGCCTGCCTGCTCGCCCGCCCGCCCAGGACCTTATAAGTTTGATAGAATTACATCGAAACAGTTGGCGCTTGAAAGTAATGTAAGCATCTCCTTATACTACAAAGGTTATAAATTATTGGTACTCCATTCAGAATTATTATTTTCAAACAAAATATGAAAAAAAATCTTATCATAGATAATTAGATTTTTGTATGTAGATCTGTCTTAACATGATATAAAAATAACTGACCGAGAAAAAAAACCCATCGCACTATTCCGGACTCGATCCGAAATTACGTTTATTTATTTAGACAGACCGGCGTCCGCATTACCCATAGTTCCATAGTTTACGTCCAGCGCCTGTCTTAACTCGCTGACTTGTACACATAGCGGTGGAGGATATTAGATCTGGAAATATATTTAAGAGGTAAGATGTGAAATATTTCAGTAGATGAAACATTCAAAATGTGATTTTCATTGCGATGGAAGTGGGTAAAGTCAATAATTTAAGTTTTTCATTGACATCAATACAGGAGTCAGCAGTGCCCGTTTTCTTACATGAAATTCCTTTGGTGCATTTGCTACAAGATTGCTGTTTTTCAAAGATTGCTATTATTTACAGTTCAGTTTAAAAGTGTGTGTTTGAAATAGAAGCCTAAACTCGTGACATTTATTCCATCCATTTAAGAGCTGCTAATTTTCTTCGGTATATTTTGGTTTTGGCGGAACGGAAGTTCTCTTCATCGATTTCCGGTAAGGAAAAAGTTGACGCGAAACCATGGATACTGTAAACTAATGTCTAGATATGTGTTTTCGATTATCTTCATTGTTGGTACAATGTTGGACACAATTTCAACAGACAAACTAACTGTGAAATTACCGATAATTCTTGTAAATTATTGAAATGAAACTGTCATTCATCTTTATTTTGATTAGCCCTCTCCCCATCGTAATGTTTTTTCTTCTAAAAATAGCACAGTACTGTAACAGTTAGAATTGCTCCGTAATCCTGATGGTCATCATTTTAGTTCCTTTTTTGCTATTGACATATCATAGTTTTCTACATTATAAGTAAGTGCATATAAACCCTCTGCTCTTTTCAACATTATTTATGTAAACAGCAACTTTTGTACTGTTGGTTCAGTTATCAATTCAGCTAAATTTCATTTTTAGTAATAAAGCTGTGCTTTCTACAGTTTTTTTTTAGAAATTGTATCTAGTGTAAGAACTTGTTCACATTAGTATACATTGTTGACTCACAGTCTCTTTATAGATAAACATTAAGGAATAAACAAGGTTAAATAATGATTCTGGAATCAAAGACCACTGAGCAGGGTTGGCGAACATCACAAATGCGCTAACAGCATTTCAGATGTGTTCAACAATCATTTGTTACCATAAATAAGATAATCAGACACACATATCACTTTCATGATGTACTTACAATCATGCTAAAATTGCAAATAATGAAAAACTGAAATATATATGCATGTATATAATTTTCTATCTAATTTATTTTGCCGTTTTAGCAAAGCCTGCTTAAAAGACAAGTTGAGAAGCTATAGTTATTGCAGTTGATTTCTTGATATAGGAGTATTGGATAATCGGGTATAATAATCTTATAACAGGATTATCAGTAAAGAAGAAGAAGTCAGACTGTAAAGGTTAAATGCTTAGGTTTGGAAGTTTTACTGGTGGCAAGTGGCCCCTGGCAGTATGCCCATAAGTATATTAAAAAGTCTTCATTTGTATATTTATCAAATAAATAAACACAACTTTTCAATAGCCTTAGGATTAAATCAGCTTCCCCTGGGACAGGTAATTTGTGTACCGTGTAGTACATGTAGGAGTAGAATACTATATTGTAATATCAACTACTACCTCTGCTTTTCAATATCTAGAACATACATTAAATGCAGACAGCAAATTCCTTGGTACATTTATGCAATTTTGTTTATGTTTTCCAGTTAATAATCCATTGTTGAAATGTGAAGATGAAATGGCAATACCGACAGAAAAAAGGATTTGTACAGAGCAATTTTAATATGATATAAAATGCAGGATATTGATGGCTAACAAAGCCTTCAACCTGCAGACTCCAATGTGTGTTGTTGCACATTACAATATCAAGTGTATTGGAAAGTGAATAAAAAACAATGCCTGGGAAACCCCCGGAATCGGACGGGGGTGGATCCATGACTCCGTCAGAGGCTAGTGATGGAGAGGAACGAAGTGAAAGAGACTCAGACTATGAGACTGATGAAGAAGAGTAAGTTCTCTCATGGTTATAATGTCATTTATAAACAAGATTTTATAGAACTTGACAAATATATCTGACATATTTGATCGTTTTTCATACATAGAAAATTCTATACTGTTATATATTGTTTAATTTACTTAGGAGATTACAAAGATACAATGGACAACACTGTCTTTTAGCCAGGTTCATGAAGATCCTTATATTATAATGAAAAATTTTCAGAGTTTTTCATTTTTGATTTTTAAACAGTGCTCCCCCTTGTTTTTTTTTAACCTGCGAAGGGTCAGTGATTTTGAAAACTCTTGCTTTTCCTGTGGGATAACTCCATATATCTCTGGTATTGGGACTTGTAAAATCTGTATCCCTAACAATGTATTTTTATAAGAGAATGCTTGAAAACCATGGGTACAAGTATAAAATTTCACCAATTTTCGAGAGTTTTGTATCATCATTCATGGGTAATGGAGAATACTGGGTTTTTTTCAGATATGAAGCCTATTGCCAGTGATCAAGTTAATTTTTGATAAATCACTTTTGACTTGCAAAAACAAGTTTTAAGTATGTACATACAACCCGTATTCAAACTACACCGGTATTGCAAAAGCTATTTATTTATTTATATTTTTTTTTCAAATAATCTGATGAATGATTTCTTTCTAGACGATGTCGCCGTCAGTTTAAATATGGAAGGTATATTAAATGTATTAGTATTATATTAACCTGCACTCAGACACATCTACCTTCTCTGATTGGACGGTATTTGAGTGACTTATCCCAATCATATCAATTTTCCTGATATTAATGTTTGATGATGTTTTGCAGATCCATAACTTTTCCTGTTCAATGTGTCTCATTCCTGTTGCATGTTTATAGGATTCCATTCAACTTGCTATCTGATAAATTCATAAACAAATTTTCTGAATACATACAGAAAATTTTAATGAAGTACATCTACAAATACAGTATACATTGTACATCATTCACTGAAATCTATATTTCTACTATAACATCACATGTTTTCAATCAAATGTGTCATTGACAGCAAAGGTCTTCTGTTAACTGTTCACCCTGATTTGCGAAAATCTTTTTCTCAAACATTACATCACATGTTTTCAAATATGTGGTTGACAGCAATGGTCTGTTTTAATTTTTATCCATATTTGCACAAGAAGCATTGATTTTCATTTCCCACAATATACCACTGTGTTTAATATGGTATACATGTACACATGATATCTAGAGGTCTTCATTGCTACTTCAGTCCCTTATCCACTCTCATGTTTCTGTATAGCAAATTTAGAGCTCTTGTTTGCTGTGATGTTATTGAGAGTGCCTAGTATACTTCTTTAGCTGTTTTGTGTTATAAAATTGTACAGAGTTTAGATTTTAGATTTAGAAACCTGTCATATGTCAAAATTTTATATTTTCTCCTGGAAATTAACCTCGGATCTATAGGTAACGATTGCATGAATTAGATATTCAGTTCATTGTTAAGTAATCATATTGATAAAATGTACTTTTGTCAAGCTTCCTCCTCCACCACTTCTTCCTAAAATGAAAACATATTTCCAGTAACCTTATATACTTATATATATAGCTACCAGCCCAAGTTTCATTTTTATCTCCTTCATGAACCATGATTATTATTTTTTTATGACTTGTCATTTATTGAAAAATATAGTGTAACTGCTTGTTGGGGAAAAATGTAGCTTAGCAGTGTGAAAGCAGTTAAAAGTTTGAATCATCAAGCTCTTTTTTGCTTTTGTAAAAGAAAAGTGAATTTCTTAAGGATAACTTTCCTAATTTGGAAATCTGTGAATTAATTAAAATTACAATGCTACTTGATACAGTAAATTGATACATAGTTATTTGTGATGGATGTGTAAATTTTAACAACCAATTATGTCCGAGACATAAATGATCATTTATAGAGTGAAACTTTAAGGCACAATTCAATGTTTTATCATACTTTTATTCTACTTCTGTAACAGTTTTAAGTTCTATAAAGTTATAGAATAATTCATTTTGTTAAATCAAACCTTCTTTTTTTTTGTTTTTAATTAAATTTTGTATATTACAGTAACTATATGTATCAGTTCAAAATTGTAGCAGTTGATTGTATATCCAGTATCTACACCTTAATTTTTTTCTTCTAATATTAGACACCAGGAGATGTTGAACATCCAATGGACAGGTTATGGGAAGAAGACGCCAGTTGTTACTTTCAATCCGGAGTTGGTGCTAGCAAAGAAGGGCAACATGAAAACTGTTGGAGGTATTTCTTAATCTAAATAGACAATACTAAAAAGGTAAATAGACAATACTAAATAGATAATACTAAATAGACAATACTAAATAGACAATACTAAAAAGACAATACTAAATAGACAATACTAAATAGATAATACTAAATAGACAATACTAAATAGATAATACTAAATAGACAATACTAAAAAGGTAATTATTTACTAATGGTGGTGCTGTCCTTGGGGACTAAATAGTTTTCTTGTTGTTAATACATAAAGTATTGGGTACATGTAAAACCAAACTGGGAGAAATGTGGTATTCAACATCAAGATTGCAAAGAGAAAAAAAAGAAGTGAAAAGTCCACAAATTTCTTGGTTTTTATTGTGATTTAAACTTTTGATTCATACTTCTTTTAAGATGTTGCTAGTAATTGGATAATCAAAAAAAAAGTTACTTTCCCTTAACAGCTAATATCAGGTACATTTATTTTTTGTCTGATGTTAAAAGAAGGTAAAGTTTATTCATTTTTATACTTTGTTGAAATTGCAAGAAAATAGTTCTGTGTAGTCCAGCGAGAAAGGTTATGCTTTTGTTTTTCCTCACATTACCATGTACTTAATCATGTTCTGTCTTCATGCATCTGTCTACATTTCATTTTATCCAGAGAGATATCACCTTGCCTATAAGTTTGGAAACACGGAATGTAAAGTTGTGAGAACTATTCTCAACTTCCATGGATTCCACGAGGTGAGCTTTTTTACTGATCTTTAGATATTTTAGATCACAGAATTTAGAGTTTGATTGTTTTGTTATAAAGAGTAAATTTTATGGCAAAAAACTACACAGTAATGTAACAATTTAACTATTAAAACATAATAGATATAATAACAAGCTAAAAATCTTAATTGTAAGATACAGTAAGAAGTTATAAATATACTCATAGATCACTGATAGCCATGTTTCTTTATTTATCTCAAACTCCACCCATGTCTGGTAATAAGCCCACCCATATATGTTGGTATTAAGTACGATTTCAAACCATGGGTTTTCAGTGTTCTGTAATAAGCCTATCCCTGACTTTTCGTTTGAAGAAATCTTATTCCCTGTTGTTAAAATCTACAGTATCATAAAATGTCACTAATTTCTATTGTTTAGGTTCACCCCAACAGCTCCGACTATAACTTTATTTGGACAGGGGGCCACCTAAAACCCTTCACTCTACGCAGTCTAACAGAGTTTCAGAAAATCAACCATTTCCCTCGCTCATATGAACTGACTCGAAAGGATCGCCTCTACAAAAACGTACAGCGAATGCAGCAGATAAAGGTGGGTAACTCTGTAAATACTGTCTCTATTTGTATCAATGACTTATAATGCAATAGAAAGAAAGACAGTTTTGTTTATTACAAAGAGAAATCCATTCAATACTTTATTAGTTTGCATCCTGAAGACTGATGGTGAGTTTGGCAAGATCATCTCTTGATTTTAAGATCAATGTTACACCAGAAAGCTGTCCAAATTAAAATCCAGGATTAAATTTTCTTGTTAATACTAATTCAGCATCTTGAATTCTGACTCGTTTGTCAAAATCAGTCGCGCCATAATCCAAATATGTAGGCTTCTTATGCAGTTTGTATTTTTGAGGAGAAATGTTGTAATGTTGCTTATTGCAAAAGTGCACAATCCTGAAGTCCACTGTTCAGTAAATGATAAAATGATTTTAAAAGGCATGTTTTACAAAAGTTTTTAAAAATTTCTTTTCAGGGAATGAAACATTTTGATATTTTGCCATCAAGTTTTATACTGCCAAGTGAATATCAAGATTTTTGTGGTAAGTATACAGATCAACTACAAGATAAATTTATTCAAGCTTTTTGGTAAACTGTTAAATTATATGTCTTATCAGAACATCTTGCAGTATATACATTCTTTATAGAGAATTTTGTACACTATGAGTCTCAAATTTTTCTTGGTTTCAATTCTAGCCTCATTTCTTCGGGAGAAAGGTACCTGGATTGTAAAGCCAGTGGCATCATCAAGAGGTAGAGGTGTCTTTCTCTGTAATCATGTAAGTAATTATAAGATTCTGCAAAGCCTTTGTATGAAGTACTAGTCCCTTTCATATTTAAATGATATAAAAAAAGTCTTGACTAACCCTCCCTAACTGTTGAAATATTTTTCGAGTTTTAAAAAAAAATGGAAATTTAAAACTTTTTTTGATAAACTTTTGACCTTTGACATTGCCCGAAATACATTGAGAAATCACAAAGTCCCAGAATCCATGGAGTAAAGTTTGATTCTGCCCTTAATAAAAATTCAAATTTCAATTACAGCCCTTTTAGTTTTTCTATTTAGTGCTTAAAGCTGCCTGTAATGACACTGATGACATACGTAAATGGCTCCTAGATTCTAATGTTCATATTGTTGTTCAATGTATCTGGCTGCTTACCACACTGGAATTTGTTAATGCTAGAAAATATAATTGTCTTAGATGAAAGGCATATGAATTAATGCAGAGTCAAGAGTTTTCTAATAGTTGTTGGAAATAATTAGATTTTTGTTGTTTGTAGCCGGACCAGGTGCCACTGGATGAGAATCTCATTGTGTCTCGCTACCTAAATCAGCCTCTCCTTATTGATGGTAGGTTTACCTTACAATTGATTGTTGAAAAGGTAATTTCTGAGTGCCACTTATTTACAAGTGTCATTGTGCTCATGGTTGAATTGAGTCTTTATGAAAATAATTCCCAATTTTCCTCAAACTCATGATGAGGTAATCATATTTGATAAAATAAAGGTGCAGAAACTGCCAACCATCAGCATTGGAGTTTACTGATAATCTAATTATATCAAATAAATTTGAAACCAGCGTTTGTCTGTTTTAGATATATTTCAACAATTGACTGAAGATTCTTCTAGATATGTTTTCAGTTTAAAAAATTTAAAATGTTTGTTATCAACTCATATACATTTTTGTGTCAAAAGACTCCAAAGTGGTACAAGACATATCTCAAAACTATTATGTTGAATCTAGATTTGTTACACTTGCTCTTAATTCCTCTTAAGAGAGTACTCCCTGAAGGTTTTACAAATGAAGTTTTTCTTGATTTGACAGGTTTTAAGTTTGATGTACGCCTGTATGTGTGTGTTACCTCATACGATCCGCTAGTCATTTATCTGTTTGAGGAGGGACTCACAAGGTAAGTTCTGATAGCATTTTAAACACAAACATTATGATGAGGTAGACAACAGTACATGTTTGAATGCTAAATAACAAAATATCCTCAATCTAAGATATCACCCCCTATGATTATGAAATGATCGTAAGCCTTAAACAGTCAGGAAAATAGTTTTCAGTATATGATTAGCTAGGCAAAAACATATATCTAGGATTGTAGCAATTGTAGTGTGTTTCACTGATCTGTGTAGGTACAAATCTAACAGCTATGATACACACAGTTACTTGGTATTTGTCTATATCTGAGGAGAGTCTCAATGTTTCACTACCATAGTGTAGTGTGTTTCACTGATCTGTGTAGGTACAAATCTAACAGCTATGATACACACAGTTACTTGGTATTTGTCTATATCCGAGGAGAGTCTCAATGTTTCACTACCATAGTGTAGTGTGTTACACTGATCTGTGTAGGTACAAATCTAACAGCTATGATACACACAGTTACTTGGTATTTGTCTATATCCGAGGAGAGTCTCAATGTTTCACTACCATAGTGTAGTGTGTTTCACTGATCTGTGTAGGTACAAATCTAACAGCTATGATACACACAGTTACTTGGTATTTGTCTATATCCGAGGAGAGTCTCAATGTTTCACTACCATAGTGTAGTGTGTTTCACTGATCTGTGTAGGTACAAATCTAACAGCTATGATACACACAGTTACTTGGTATTTGTCTATATCTGAGGAGAGTCTCAATGTTTCACTACCATAGTGTAGTGTGTTTCAGACTGTTTCAGCCTCTTGAGAAAACTTACAGTTCTGTTTTAAGATTACAATAATATTTCTTTTCACTTTCAAAAATGAGAATGCTTAAAGCAAAGTCCAACATTTCAATCTTTATTGAGGAATTATCTTGTATTGATGTTTGTATATATCTTAAATAATCAGATTAATTTTTTAAAATGTTAAAACTTGTTCTCAAGGTTTGCTACAGTGAAGTATGAGAAGAGCACTCGGCACATACGTAACCAGTGCATGCATCTAACAAACTACAGTGTCAACAAAAAAAGTGATGACTATGTCAGGTAAGAAATGGTCCTGTCAATAATCTTGTTGACATGTAGAAATCCTTATTGTCTTGGAGTGAAATTATAGTAGAATCTGTAAAATTATGAAAAATATACATATATTCTGACATTATGATAACAGTGGTGAAAAAATGTTTTCAGGAGAAATATTTGATGGAGACAGTGTAAATATTGCTTTACTTATAAACATGCTTGATAATAATTGTAGACTGTAGGTGATTGATAAAAAAGATAAAAAAAGAACTAAGAGAAATATGCTACCTGGTTTGTTTTAAGAAGTATGGGTTATAATTTTTAATAGAGTAGAAAATTTTAACAAGGTTTTTGTTCTATTGATGTATTGATTGATTGATTTATTTATTTATTTATTGGTTGATTGATTGATTGATTTTATTCAGAAATGATGACCCTGATGTTGAAGACTATGGCAACAAATGGTCATTAGGGGCATTGTTACGATACCTCAGATCTCATGGCCGCGACACAACAGGTAAACTCTCCAAGATTTCTTATATAAGTTTGTAACTTTGAATCCACAAAAATTGCTTGAAAAACCATAAAAAATCGAGTCAAATTAACATGTGTAATTTTACAGCATTATAATGGTTATTCTGATTAATGGGATCATGATGATTGTTACAGAGTTACAGTAACCCCAGCATGTCTTTGTCTTTCATAAAACAACCAAATTATAATTTATATACAAATTCTTCATTTCAGGAATAAAATCTAAAATTGGATATGTTCAGATATAAATCTTTAAGTAAGTCTATCTGGTTTAGCATATTATAATATAGGTCATTGACCTTAAAGTTTTATCAAACAACTTGTTTTATTTATAGCTCTGATGATGCGAATAGAGGATGTAATCATTAAGTCGATATTGTCAGTAGAACTACCCATCGCCACAGCCTGTAAGATGTTTATGCCATTCAGAGGAAACTGTTTTGGTAAGATTTGTTGTTCACCCATAGTAAGACCTGTTGTTCACCCATAGTAAGACCTGTTGTCACCCATAGTAAGACCTGTTGTTCACCCATAGTAAGACCTGTTGTTCATCCATAGTAAGACCTGTTGTTTACCTATAGTAAGACCTGTTGTTCATCCATAGTAAGACCTGTTGTTTACCCATAGTAAGACCTGTTGTTTACCTATAGTAAGACCTGTTGTTTACCCATAGTAAGACCTATTATTCACCCATTGCAAGAACTATCGTTTAATGTTAAAGTTTTTACACTGATTTTCAAGGAATGCTATTGCTTAAAAGAGATCTGATACGACTTACAATTTATAAACTGCATGGCATATTGCCATTGGACGTTCCTTAGCTCAACTGCTGGACAGGTGACCAAGAAGACATCTTGAAATCTCCCGCTGGCCGGGAGAAACTTTTCTATATTATTTAGACATTTTGTTATATTCGTGAACACTTATACATCATTAAATGTATCAGTTATTTCTGTTAAAGAATGAAATTTATCAGTTATTTCTGTTACAGAACTATATGGGTTTGATGTCCTTATTGATGAAAACATGAAACCCTGGGTGCTAGAAGTCAACTTGTCTCCGTCCTTAGCCTGGTATGTGTAGAGCCAATTATTTTCCCAGTAATTTAAAGTGATGAGTGACATCAATAGTACAACAATGTCACACAGCAGTCTAATGAAGTTTACTCACTAGTGTTTTGTAAAAGAGAAAAAAATTGTCAATTGTCTCTGTTGATTTATTTATTAAAACAAATTGAGGTTGTAAGGATTCTTTTCATTATTTTTGTTTTTAACTTCTTTTATTTTGAATCAAGTAATATGTCATGTTTGAAATGTTCCAGAGAAATATTGTTTGAATTACTGAATAATGGTAACAATTTTGTGACTCTCTTACAGTGATGCTCCATTGGATTTGAAGATAAAAACAAACCTAATCTGTGATCTATTTAGTCTTTCAGGTAAGTCTGTTCTATTGCCTCTGAACGTTGACACATAAGACAGAAAGTCTGTTCTATTGCCTCTGAACGTTGACACATAAGACAGAAAGTCTTTTCTATTGCCTCTGAATGTTGACACATAAGACAGAAAGTCTGTTCTATTGCCTCTGAATGTTGACACATAAGACAGAAAGTCTGTTCTATTGCCTCTGAACGTTGACACATAAGACAGAAAGTCTGTTCTATTGCCTCTGAACGTTGACACATAAGACAGAAAGTCTGTTCTATTGCCTCTGAACGTTGACACATAAGACAGAAAGTCTGTTCTATTGCCTCTGAACGTTGACACATAAGACAGAAAGTCTGTTCTATTGCCTCTGAACATTGACACATAAGACAGAAAGTCTGTTCTATTGCCTCTGAACATTGACACATAAGACAGAAAGTCTGTTCTATTGCCTCTGAACATTGACACATAAGACAGAAAGTCTGTTCTATTGCCTCTGAACATTGACACAGAAGACGGAAAGTCTGTTCTATTGCCTCTGAACGTTGACACATAAGACAGAAAGTCTGTTCTATTGCCTCTGAACATTGACACATAAGACAGAAAGTCTGTTCTATTGCCTCTGAACGTTGACACATAAGACGGAAAGTCTGTTCTATTGCCTCTGAACATTGACACATAAGACAGAAAGTCTGTTCTATTGCCTCTGAACCTTGACACATAAGACAGAAAGTCTGTTCTATTGCCTCTGAACGTTTACACATAAGACAGAAAGTCTGTTCTATTGCCTCTGAACGTTGACACATAAGACAGAAAGTCTGTTCTATTGCCTCTGAACATTGACACATAAGACAGAAAGTCTGTTCTATTGCCTCTGAACGTTGACACATAAAACAGAAAATTGGTAAAGAGTGACTTAAGTAAATACTACATACTAAAAAACAAATCTGAGACACTGATAATTATAGTCTCATTGTTTTTAAAGCTGTTCGGTGGTTAATTGTCCGAAACATTGAAGAATTATGTGTGTTAGAGAAATTTATTACTGAAGCTAACAAGCAACCCATAAATAACTATGATATGTATGATGTATAGTGTTTTCAAATGAGAATCATTCTCTATGTATTGTGTACTGGGTTGAATAAATCTTGAAATCTATTGAAAAATAAATTTATGCAGTAAAATCTGTGATACATGTTGTACAACATCGACGTTAGACAATCATCTGTTTGTCTTCTCTTGTTGCTTAGTAAGGATGTGTCATTATCTTACCTAGTAATGTCCCAGGTATTTACATTTACCTGAGTAATTATTTACATTTGTTCTGATATAATATCATGTAAAATTGAAACATAAATTACATACATTGTACATTTGTACTGCTTAGGTAAATAAAAAACTGAAGCAATGTTTACAGATATGAAATTTGACCTATCCAAGTCAGAAGTACTAAAGTCAGTCTCTGTCTCTTATCAAGATCAAAATGCATCAAGCAAATGAAAAAGTCAGATTTAAAAAATTAACTGTTTTCTTTAATTCAGGTCTGAAGACATTACAATTTTATGTTAAAAGGACAAGGCCTTTTAAACAAACTTAAGACTGCTGCGATTTGTTAAATTTCCAGAATTGGTTTTCATCCTTTGTCAAAAAGCTTAGATATTCGGAAATGCCATCACTGCTTAACAATATTGTGTGAGTTTGGAGAAGTTAAAATTCATGTTGAGTTTATCATAACATTGCAGGTATTATTTGTAATAATATTACAAGTCGTAGAGTTATTTGTAATAATATTACAGGCATCATATGCCACGATCCCATGATGAGGACGCTTCAGCAAAGCCGGCGAAATCAAGAAGTCACTGCCAAAATTGCATCTCGAGCAAAGGTATATCTGAAATGGACACCATGGTGACCTGAATATGTCCGATAACAGTTCCTCTAACTGTCCTCAAAATACCAGTACCTGTCTGAATGTGTGTTCCTGTCCTTATTACACTGTATCCTCATTGATTAGCATGCCAATGTTAAGCTAGCTGTTCATTTTAGCCGTTTATAAGTAGCTAGAGCTGTTAATTGGTAGTCTATGTATGAGCTAAGCTTTGCTAGGTCAATATAGGTAAAGCAAAACCTTTGGCAAAATGCTTTGAGAGAATGCATGCGTTGTTTTAAATATATCCACCATTTAGTAGTTAGGGAGATGGGTATGTAAGAGGGTGGGTGGAGGTCTTGCTTTCACTGTTTGACTTTGTGTGTAGATAAATCCATCCATGTGTTCATAGTATAGCAATTAGCTCTATACCAGATGTCAGATTTAGTTTGTCATTGGTCAAGGTTGCAGGGTCAAAGTTCAAATTTTTGATATACATACAAACTATTCTATGATACCTCAAGTTCAACGTGTTTCATTTGTTATCAGTTACAATATATATTTTATTAGTTTATAGATAAATTCTGAAAAAAAACATGGCACATCATTAGGTCATCGCCAACCTGTCTAATGGGTCAAAGGTCAAGACAGCACTTCATTAGGCCATCATCAACCTGTCTAATAGGTCAAAGGTCAAGACGGCACATCATTAGGCTATCATCAACCTGTCTAATAGGTCAAAGGTCAACACGACACATCATTAAGTCATCATCAACCTGTCTTATAGGTCAACGGTCAACGCGGCACATCATTAGGCCATCATCAACCTGTCTATTAGGTCAAAGGTCAAGACAGCACATCATTAGGTCATTATCAACCTGTCTAATGGGTCAAAGGTCAGGACATAGAAGGGAAGGATTATCAATGTGTGAACCTCACTTTGAAGTTTTGAATTCAGCTCATTTTTTATAAATATCTGAAAACTGGGGCGTTATTTGTGATGAGATGCAGTTTTAGAGCTAAATAAACCTAATCCATAAGAAAATTTTCAAAAAAGAAAAATTGAATTCTTCTCTTCAATATCATTTAAGATTTAATGTCGTGTCTTTGAATTTGAGTATTAAATTAAATGAAGATATTGAATTCCTTGAAAGAAAAGTTCCTCACAGTACTAGCATGAGTTGTTGTCTCTGACTGATGATCATAAGAGCATGATAGATATCTGTGGAGTAATGTATACTTTTATTGTATAACATATTTTAAAATTCAAATTTGTCTGTTTATTTGTATATGCTGGCATGAAATAGATTGTAATGCATGATTTCAAAATATTATTATTGATTGTGGGAAATCTGCCTACCATGAATCAATCATTAACTTTTAACCAGTAAACCCCAAAAATAATTCACTGATTTGTCTTCTTGTCTGATTTCCTGAACTTGTGTCTAACGATCACACTCAGTGACAGTATTAATGATTTCTGTAGAAATGATTTCCAATATTAGATTTCTCACAATTATTCTGAAAAACCACTGGTTACAGTGTGGAAAGCCTCTCTAGCATACCTCAGATTGTGTTCCAGAATCTTACAGGCCAGCTATGGAAACTACTGGCTTTGAGAAAAAGATGGAATTTGATTTGGCTATATACAGATAATGAGGATTGAAAAATATGAATTGATGATACGTTTGTAAATACGGAATTTCATCTCATCCTCATTCACTATTGGACAATGTAAATAACATCCTAAAGAGGGCTTCCATACCAAGTGCTGTACATCACGTCTTTTATTAGTAGAATAAAGCATGTAGATATCACTATTCCTTCACTCCGCCTGCCTTTTTTCCAGTCTGCTCGATTCCGACCTTCTTCTGCCTCCACGGTAAGTCTGTCTGGGACCAGGCACGTGTGTGTGTGTGTGTGTGTTCATTCTTTTGGATGTATAATCAGATAGCTGGCTTTGAACATGACAGAATTTTATTGTTAACAGATGTAGAAATGTCACATGTCCTCATCTATTTATTCTTTGAAATACATGTCCTGATATGTAATGTTGAAACGTCATGGAACAAGACAACCATAGTGTCAATAGTAAACAATCATAGAAAACTACGATATTGATATAAAACCTTTTAGGTGTGAAAACTACGATATTGATATAAAACCTTTTAGGTGTGAAAACTACGATATTGATATAAAACCTTTTGGGTTTTAAATCTGGGATCAATCAGGTTATTTTGGTCTCAATCATATAAATGTCATTTATTGTACAAATCCAATGTTTCAGTTCAACTTTACTCAAGTTGATTGTACAATTTAGATTTTTTAGAAATCAGTAAATTTTGTTAGATAGATTACACTTAGCTTTTAAGCACATACCATCTGTTAAAAGTTATTCAATTCAAAATAGTTTGATTCTGTGGTAGAATTTTGGAAATTGTATCCACTTATCCACTCATCCTGAACACTAAGTTTATGTACTGGTGCAAATGTTTACACAAGTATAGAAATACTGAAACAAATGTTGATGATCCAGAAATACACAAGGATAAAAACTTATCCTGGATACTATCAACTTAAATAGGACCTTTCTTCAATAAAGATTCTAGATTAAATTTATCAAAGTAGTTTTCTTCCTCCATCATAAAAAATGTCTTCGTGTGACTATTACTACACATAAAGTGATATCTGTAACATACCGAAACCCCATCAGGTTAATAGAGAACATATAGTGCTATTATCATCTACAGTCTGTATGTTAGATAAAGGCGATGATCTTTGGATTTTCTTTAGACAATTAATACATTGATGATACATCGTTAGTAACTATGAAATTATTCATTAACAAGTTAACGAGTAACACATTGCCATGTATATATATACTCTACTTACTTTGAAACTGTGAATCTGAATTCTTATGTAATGTATTTCATAGTAATAGATTAGTATACTAACATATATTATGGATGTACTAAGCTGGCTGGAATTTCCTGGCATTTGTATTCAATAACTTTTAACAAGTTGGATACATGATATTAAATGATTTTCATTTTCAGGACCTGAAACCATCTCTAAGTTTGCGGGTTTGTACTGACAAGCCTCTCTGTCATGCTCTGTTGTCTGTGATTCATGTCGTCTTTCTGTTGTTTTCTGTTACAGCAATGCATACATGATTGCATTGCTGTAGTTATGTTGTCTCTTACAAACATGCTGTATCTTTTTGTTACAGCTATATGGCATATTTTCTGTTTCCATATGACCCTGCTGTGTTGCAGTCAAACTTGTGTTGAAATGTTACTTACTGGTAACTTGTTAACAGTCATCAGACAGGGAGAGATTGTTATACAACAGGATGTACAACAAATTTTTGTGAGATTTTTTATCTCTTTGATTTTGTAGGAATTCATAATCCATGAACACAGGTGTCTGAATCAACATAAAGTATTATTGGGTTTAGTTAGTGACAGCTATTTATGTAATAATTCTTGAAAACCCAGATTTGAGCATTGTGTAAATAAATCATTTTACAGTGTAATGAAAAAAATATTCCATCACAGATTTGACTGCTCTGCTGACTCTGAGGAAGGGCTTACTTCGTGCTATCATTTTCACTTTCGACATTTGTTTTTTCCTGCTTGTTGGCTGAGGTATTAGTTGTGGAAGTGCCAAGAGTTTTGTTCTTTCAATTTTGTTTGTTTGTTGTGGTTTTTTGTATATATTTGTTGTCGTGTTTTTGGTAGTTTGATATTTTCAGTTTCAGCCATTTATTGATTAATGAATGACATACATGCTTATTTATTTCTTAGTCAATCTATGGATTTCTATTTCTTAATGTTAACTTCTTATAATGAAAGAGAAATAGAATCTTATAATGGTCTGTTCTATGGACAGGAATATCTTGACCCAAAAAATTATACCTAGTCTAAGTTCACAAAAGTTACACAAAGTTGAATTTGTAAATTGTAACTTTCTTACTGGGTACTTATAAGTTTGAACATTTTTGTACTTTTTCTGAAAGGTACAAAAAAGTTACAAAAAAGAGTTTTAAAAAGGTATACCTTTGATAACTTATTTGGGTTATGGTTATGCTATGTTAAATTAGGACACTTCATTATTGTGAATTGTGTCATAGAACTTGCCAGCTGTCGTATTCTACCTTGTGTGAGATAAAGCTATCACCTCTCCACCAACTATTAGCTCACTCTATGAAAGAGGTGAGATTTCAATATTCAAGACAAAATTGTATCATTGAAAAGAATTCTCTTACACATACATTTTACATGTCTCATCAAAAGTTGTTTAAAGTTCTTATCATGTTGTTTAAAGTTCTTTTTTGTGATTAAAGATTTGTTATTATTTTGTTTTTACTGGTGATATATCTATCCTGGTTATCCTTTACGACTAGTTGTCAGCATTAATTGATATATCATAGATAGAATTGAATCTGGAGTATTAATGACTGTTTCTCGTAAATTACACTTCGTCCATATTTAGAAATAGTTACTGATTAACTATTTCTTCTTATACTTGAATACGTTAATGAAGATTTTGTTCTTAACTAACATAAAGACTGTTTGATAGAAATTGTTAGAAGAATGAAAATATAACATTGAAATATTTGTCTTTAATTTCATTGTAGAAACAAAGACCAATGTCAGCAGGGTCATCAAATAATGCTAGGTCATCTTCAAGGAACTCTGAACGAAGCTCCAATGCAGACAAGCCTGGTGGAATGTCTGGTCTCACTAGCGAAGAAATCAAGATTTTACGTCGAGTAAAAGAGGAAGAAAATCGGTCAGGGGGGTGGGTGAGGATCTTCCCTACTCCAGACTCTTGGGATCTGTATTCGTCATTTCTACAATATTCTAGCACAAATAACTTCATGCTTCACAGCCGACTCTACCCAGAAAGGTAAATATATCTCAACGTAAAAAAGTATTTCTAAGAAGTTAAATCTCATATCATGTATGACATCCACAATAATATCCATGATCTATATTTCAGTGTCATTATTTCTACGGTTAATTTCTTTCTTTAACTTTCTTTTTTTTTTTTCAAATGTAATGTTCATGATATCCTCAAACCTTATACATGTAATATGAAATTTACTTAAACACATACAGCTCATAAAAAATGAGAAAAAATATAGAATGGGAGGCTGGGAACCGGAAGGGGGGAGAGGGAGATTAAATGTGAAAGTTTGCTCTTTGTTCATAATGTTACTCAAATCTTGTATAGATCAATCTTCTGAGTAACTTAAGGTTTTTTAATGTTATCTTGTTTTATGGAAATAATGCCCTTTAAGGAGAAATCTATATATAGATTCTAAATATGCAATATTTATGGAACACTTGTTTACAAAATTTGCTAAATACCAAAAAAGGTGCTGCATGCTGCCTGAGAATGTAGTTATAACTGTCTGACAGTAATTTATATTGATGTGATGTCAAGGAAAATCCATCACATGAATTTACAGAGAAAAAAAAATCTTTTCTTTTACAGACACAAGTCAACATCTAGTCAGCCAAAGACTGCAGGAACAGCCTCTTTAGGATCTAGAGCCAGGTAGTGTTTATATAATTACCCCCTCATCAGGCCCTAACCTCCTCCTCTTGTGTCACCCCTACTTATAACTAGGTCTCTCTAGTACCACTGATTAAGCATGGTCGACTTTCATTACTGACAAAGAATGGTGTTTATTTTTGTGATGATATACATGACTGCCAAATAGATTTCACAAATCGGTTTTCATAACAGCTGATCTTCTTTGTAAACTTTGAAATTCTTTACTTCATGAATTCCTTAATTTTGTTATTATGTTATTTACCACATCTACATTTTGTTAGAGATGAAAATAAGTTTTATACACATCACAAAAAATATTACAAACTTTCAAGAAAATTTTGTTACCATGGTGGGATTATTTCTATTGTCAATTTCCACTGGCTATTTTTGATAACATGGTGTAAGGATTTTTTGTCGTCAAATGAATAGAGTTTAAGCTCTGAGGCTCCAACTTGTGTTTGAACGAATGCTTTTCAAATTCAAGTTTCCCTCAAAACAGAAGTCTTTTAAGATATTTCATGAATTTAGATTTTTCTTGATTTTGTGAATTTTAGTAACAATGTCAGGAATAAAAAGGATATATGAACGAAAGAGAATTGATTGACACTGAACTTTTTCAGAATAAATCCTATTTTACGATCATCCTACAAGTAAGTAATGTAAAGGTATTGTAATGTAGAATTTGTGTACCTTCTTGGAATGCTACGTCTAGCCACAAGCAAAAACAAAGTATCCTAATCACAGCATATTTATTATAAATTGTTCTATCTTCTACAACATAATGTAGTTTAGTGCTCTGTATCGTCAGTCATTTTCCTGACCTTGGAAGATTTTGGAACAGTTTTGAAATTTAGATATATATTTTTTTCTTGCCAAGATATTGTGTTACAAATCATTGGTATCAATCTGTATAAACCATGTAACATGTCTATCTAGGTGGATTAAGTTTGGATCTTGTCAGATGCATGCACAGTACAGTATATTAGAATAAATGGCTTCTTTAAATTCAGAAGGAAAATAGCATTGCTCTAAATTTAATATTCCTGAAATTTTAAATAGGTACATACATAGTGGTGCAATATTGAAGTGAAATGACTAGCCAGCTTTTTTACGGTACATTTGTACATAGTGTATCAGCAAATATTTTTTAGAATTAAATAAGCATGTAAATAATACAGTTAAGAAATAATTATAAAGTAGATTGGTGGCAGCATAATTAAATTATTTGCACAAAATTTAGAATTCTTGTCTTAGGAAATTTAAACTGTTTGTACATAAGATGTACAGGTTCTGATCATTATAGATGTTTTATCTAAGTTACATATAATGTGCACTGAGACCTTTCAGTTTTAACTGCAGGACTGAAATGATATTGATGATATCTGTCACCATCAGTTATATAGTAACTACAGTGATTGTACCATTTCTATACCATTTAATAAGCCCAGGGGAAGACACATGACCTCTGACTCAAAGTCAGGAGATGGGCTGAATACAGGACAATAAGTCTAGGTGGCCACATTTAACCTCTGACTCAAAGTCAGGAGATGGGCTGGATACAGGACAATAAGTCTAGGTGGCCACATTTAACCTCTGACTCAAAGTCAGGAGATGGGCTGAATACAGGACAATAAGTCTAGGTGGCCACATTTAACCTCTGACTCAAAGTCAGGAGATGGGCTGGATACAGGACAATAAGTCTAGGTGGCCACATTTAACCTCTGACTCAAAGTCAGGAGATGGGCTGGATACAGGACAATATGCCAACGGGTGGGGGAGGGCATATGACATTGGTCTCAAGTCAGGATATGGGTTTATTACAGGGCAATAAGCACAGGGAAAGTGGGGGGATATGATATCTGACTCAAAGTCAGGATATGGGTTTATTACAGGGCAATAAGCACAGGGAAAGTGGGGGGATATGATCTCTGACTCAAAGTCAGGATATGGCTTTATTACAGGGCAATAAGCACAGGGAAAGTGGGGGGATATGATCTCTGACTCAAAGTCAGGATATGGGTTTATTACAGGGCAATAAGCACAGGGAAAGTGGGGGGATATGATCTCTGACTCAAAGTCAGGATATGGCTTTATTACAGGGCAATAAGCACAGGGAAAGTGGGGGGATATGATCTCTGACTCAGCATCAGGATATGGGTTTATTACAGGGCAATAAGCACAGGGTAAGTGGGGGGATATGATCTCTGACTCAAAGTCAGGATATGGGTTTATTACAGGGCAATAAGCACAAGGAAAGTGGGGGGATATGATCTCTGACTCAAAGTCAGGATATGGGTTTATTACAGGGTAAGAAGTCCAGCGGAAGGAATGGTATGTGATCTCTGACTCAGCATCAGGACATGGGCTTATAACAGGATAAGCCCAGGGGATGGGGGAACATTTGATCTCTGGCTCAGACTCAAAGTCAGTATGTGGGCTTTTTACAGGACAAACCCAGGGGAAGGGGGTATGATATCTTACTCAAAGTCAGGATTTGGGCTTTTTACAGGACAATAAGCCCAGGAGACCAAATGAGACCTCTTACAGTCAGGACATCAGGAGAAAAATATATATTATTTTTTGTTTGTGTCTATGCTGAGTCTGTTTTAGTTTTAAAATTGGTGAACTCATTTCTGGCCATGACTTATTGCTAAATAAATACATTATTTAGGTCAACATTGATGCCAATATCACTTTTTAGGGAGAAATGTGATGCTAAGTTAGCTAACCAATCTACAACAGTCCTGCAGCAAAAATAAAAGAGAGTTATACATATCCCATTACGTTTACTCAAGTCGTGGTGATGTTGTATAAGGGGTGCATGTGGTCATGCTTTTCACTTTGTCTGGTGGCAGTGTACATTTACTCACGCTTTCGCATGCATTGTTTAATGTACGTTAGACATAGATGATGAGAGATATAATCGGTAGTAGTGATTTAGGGTGGTGATAACAGGTGTTTAGTGATATAAGCTTTCCACGTTCAAACTGTAATGAAAATACATGACAAAGGTAAGACATACTCAGCAATAATATTGAAAAAAGAACATCAAATGTGATATCCATGATTATTTCCAGACAATGGAATTAATTACACATTTGTTATAGAACCAGTCATTAGTGGATGTTTTAGTTGTGGTTGTAGACAAGTGCTTTTGATGGGGTTGTATGTCATTAAGGAACTATTTGCAGGTTGTATAACAGTGCTATTAATATCATGGATAAATTCAGTATAGTTTGTCAGATGATAATATCACAGGTAGTATTTGACAAATTTAATTCATAAATTTAATTAATTACATTTTTTTTCAATACTTCTAACCATTAAAGCTGTATCTATTTAAAACCATTATTGCCTGCATCTGAAGTGGGAGTTATCTCCCCTACTGAATATTAAATTTGTGAGCCTGCGATTTCTGTATAGGATTATACTTCATTTTCTGACAGTATTATACTGTTTCTTTATTAACCTGACTGTATTCTAAAATATCCTCTTCAACTCCTGCAATAATATGATACATTTCCATTTTTTACTAAAAGCATGCTGGAAGCACGTTATATCTTTGTTCTAGCATTACTGCCTTAATTATACGTCTCTCTATTTTACTTTGACAGTTATACTTGTCATGCCCTCAGACCATTTTACTGATCTCAGACCATTTTACTTTGACAGTTATACTTGTCATGCCCTCAGACCATTTTACTGATCTCAGACCATTTTACTTAGGCAGTTATACTTGTCATGCCCTCAGACCATTTTACTGATCTCAGACCATTTTACTGATCTCAGACCATTTTACTTAGGCAGTTATACTTGTCATGCCCTCAGACCATTTTACTGATTTCAGACCATTTTACTTTGACAGTTATACTTGTCATGCCCTCAGACCATTTTACTTTGACAGTTATACTTGTCATGCCCTCAGACCATTTTACTTTGACAGTTATACTTGTCATGCCCTCAGACCATTTTACTTTGACAGTTATACTTGTCATGCCCTCAGACCATTTTACTTTGACAGTTATACTTGTCATGCCCTCAGACCATTTTACTTTGACAGTTATACTTGTCATGCCCTCAGACCATTTTACTTTGACAGTTATACTTGTCATGCCCTCAGACCATTTTACTGATTTGCCTTTATTTTTTGTAAAGTATAAAGAACATGGTCACATTTAAAAAAAATAAAAGAAAACATTTGGAAGTTCTTTAAGGAACATAGAAATACATTGTATGTTACGAATGCAGATTATTTTATATTTTAATTAGATTTAGTTCAGATTAATCAAATTAAAATATAAAACAGGAAGGCTGGAGAAAAGTAGGTCAGCAAGTGATTTTTTATGAAAGTGAGGGAAAAGGGTTTGAGCACTTGATACAAACTACAAATTGATATACTATTGTCAAAATCGATGAAATATTTCTAGTTTATTTGGGGACCAGTTGAAGTTCAATGTTTTATCATAGATAACATTTGTCTTTAATTCTTGAGGTGTTTTAACAAATTCAGTAAAAAATATACATATAAGGGAATACATACTTGGTACCCACAAAATGAAGCACATACAGTATATGTATGAGAAGGTAAAATTGTTGAAAGTGAAATAAAAAACAATGAAAAGATAATCTTTAAAATTTTGGTCTAGGTCACAAGGTAGAATGGCTTTGATTTTCATCATAAATCTCAAAACATATCAGTAACCCTGATTTGATTTCATATGTGAATGATCGACAGCTGTTGTGTGAAACTAATTATCTGCCTGACTTTGTTGGACATTTCATTTGTTACCACTGATCTTTCTCTCTTACAGAAATACGTACGCTCATCTTGGTCTTTCAACGGGGAAGTCAGATTCCGAGGTGAGTAGGAAGAAATATTCTCTAAACAAAGTAGATACATTAGATAATAAGAAGAATGACTGACAACAGTCTTTATCATTATATACTATTTGAATTTGTGGCTGAGAAATTACAAAATGAGTTTGATAATAAACAGGATTATAGTGAGGTCATAAACGGGATAACAGTGAGGTCATAAACGGGATAACAGTGAGGTCATAAACGGCATTACAGTGAGGTCATAAACGGCATTACAGTGAGGTCATCATTTATTATAAGGATATATATAGTCAAACCTCATTATTTCCAACTCGTATAGCTCAAAGACCTCATTTTGTTTGAAGAAATTTATCTGTCCTGGCCAAACTATTCACCAAACATTCGATCTCACTTAAATCGATTACCTATAACTCGAAGCTTTCCAACAGTCCATTGACTTCAGTTAGACCATATCCTGGTTTAGTTAATTCTATAACATCATGAAATGTAAAAAAATCTGTGATTGCAGAAACAGTCCTTTGTAAAGATACTCACACTTGTGGTAATTAAATACTATAAACTGACAAATATTTGTGTGCCGTTTGTTTCTTTGATGATTTCTGTTGCTTGAGTGGCTGTAAAATTGTTCATCGCAAACAGGTTAGCTTCTACATAGTGGTACACTCTGTCCTATCTGGATACAGTTTTACATATAATAGGAAAATGTTTTGTTTCATAACTCTACTTCAGTAAGTTATAAATTATGTTTGTGCCATTTTAATTAAAAAGGAAATAGATATCAAATCAGAGACACAGTAATATTTAGTTTGTGAGTGAAAGCAAGTTTGGTTTGTGATCAAATAGCTGAGAAGAGCTTAATATTAATTTCAAAATCCATGAAAAATGTATCAGAGATAACTGGTTTATCAAATTAATGTCATGAACATTAATGGCTGTGAAAATAAAGTGGTTGAACATGACTGGTTGATACCTGTTAATTGTTTACTCTTGTTTTCACTTTAGCTGGCAGAGTGTTATGCAGATGCGATCATAAGAACTAGACACTATGAACGAAAACTTGGAACAGGTCGCAATCGACGGAAAGGGAAGAGGAAAAATCGTAAAGGTAGTGGGTATTCTTATAGATGTTGTATCAACATAAATGCAAAAATTGTCATTTTCCAAACATTTTTTCTTTCAATACTATTGAATAATACTTGGTAGATGCTTGTATGAATGTAACTTTCAGAATCATAATGACATAATTTGACTTGACAATTAATAACAGACATTTCATTACTCTAAAAAAACAGAAAATTTTCGTAAGTGTGATATTTGTTATTTAATGTTTTTAGCTAAATCAAAGACAAAATTAGCTCAGGGTGTGGCAGAGGATGGTGAAGGAGAGGAGGAGGGAGAAGGAGTGGAGGAAGATGCAGGGGGAGACAACCAAAGTCCAAAAGAGGAACAGAGGACTACTGTAACATCATATGAATCAGGGACCCACATAGACAGAGTTCCTGTGGAAGGAGAGACTGAAAACTCATCCAAAAATGTAGAAACAATAAAAAAACAAGAATCTTCATCTCCTGATGATCCTCCACCTAAACCAAGTAAAACAGTGGAAAGACAACCCCACAAACCACAATCCACCATCATCAGTGCAGGGGACGCTCCTTCACGACCGCCGGAGAAGGAAATGGAATCACAGTCTGTTGTTGCTCCATCCAAACCACCCATACCACAAGAACCAAAATTCAGGGTTGTAGAAATGTTGCATAAAGGCAGCTCTCTCAGGTACGGCTTTAAAACAACTGCTACAGTCAGAATTCTGATGTTTGATATATTTTGTGGCTTTCTATTTTTGATATTTTATGTGTAAAAATGTCTAGAATTCTGAGCATACATAAAGTTTGGATTTTTTTTTTTATATATATATATATATATAAATTTTGTTTGTAGTTGTTGTGTTGCAGAATTGATCTTAATACCATTCAAGCTTTTTCAATGTTCTGGATACAAAACACCACTCCCCTACGTATGACTGTTGGAACAGTGTTGTTTGATAACAGTGTTGACAGCATGGTTTTTATTTGACAGTAAAGTACAGGCCCGCAGTGCATTCGCCATGTACCTGGTGAGAGTCCAGCAGCGTCTCGTGTCAGAACACAACCCAACCTCTCAGGAAGATATTGATGCTCTTAATGAGCAAATGGTGAGGTTATAAAAATTAGTCAGTAATAATTGAAAATTTGTAATTATTTAAAATTGACATTTAACCTGAAATCTGATTATAGAAATACATAATAATGCCTCTTACACCAAGCAGTAGTTGTATGTACCATGTTCTCGATGTTTGTTCATGGCCCATCAGCATATCACTGATATCCCATGAAAAGCATTGGGATGACTTTCTATTAAATTTTAATTTCTAATGGATTTGTTAAATTAATGGCTTTCATTAATGAAGGCATCATTTAAGAAATAATGACATTTTAATATGTATTGGATTGCCAGACCTACTACAATCTATGTAAATCATAATTATGGAAAATAGTGTTTCTTTTCAGTAAAGTTATACTTTGTATTATTGAAATTACAGGTAAATGTTACAGTATTGTGGAAGATAATTTTTTTTTCCGTAAGATAAGTTCTTCTAACATAAATAACAGGTTAATGAATTAAAACTCATTTTACAGGATTTAGTTTTACGATTTCTTAAACGAGCAGCTGTCAATTTACAACAACAGTTCAAGGTCATTGTACCGAGTCGTAAATTACCACTGAATGATCGACGCCGGATTCTAGCCAAACAGCTTGGTGACTTTGTTCACATTTACAACAAGGTAAAAGATATATATGATAGGATACTCTAGCTTTGAAACTTAACTGCTGCATTCATAGGATCAGACAATTTAATACTCATTTCAAACTAATCATGAATTGTTATGTTAAAAAGAGTTCTGGACGGAAATTTACCTAACTTATGATGCATTGTAACCAGTTGTAATTCATCGTATAAGATCATAATTGAATTCCATCGTAGAATTTTTTCGTTCTTTGTTTGTTTTACATTTATTAAGCAACTCCTCAACAACTTCTTTGCTTAGATTGATTAAATGTTTCCCTCGCTTTAAGGAGCTTTACGGTCTTTTAGTATCATGTAAGTTTGCTCTGAAGTTGGTGAGCTCTCCTTTGTCCAATCAATGAAGCAGGATTTCCAGAGTGGCAGAATCAAATAAACTCTTCACCTCCATTCATAAATACAAGCTCTCCAGGGTGGTCTATGTTGTAGTTTTAGACAACTCAGAAATTCTCCAGATGTTGGAAACTTTCCCATATCACAAATTTCCCAAGGTAATCTCCTTTGTTGTTTGGAAACGTCTATAGTTCTCCTGATTTTAAACAATGTTCCATACAAGAACTTCCCCAGAGTAGTCTCCCTTGTTGTTTAGAAGTAGGTCTCCTAATTGAAGACTTTTTCCAGACATGTTCTCTGCTGCCTTGTTAGAGTGCACCATTCTGTTACAGCTGCTTCATCACAGTAAACAGGTATAATTGGCATGTATTGATCTTGGCTTTAGGGCTAGTATACAACAAAACTACCCTCCCCATGTTCATCGTAGTAAAAATCTATATAATTACAAATGTATTCCTGTGTTTAATTGGACGTTTTGTATCCTCCAATCCAAGCATGCTTAAAGCCCATGATATCAGATCTGAATTTTCATGATTGATTTTTTTTTTACATGAAATATATTTAATGTAAGTAATGTAAATACCTCATTATATATTATATACAACGTACCTGTTAATCAATGAGCATGTGGAACCAGTCAAGCTTCTCACAATTGCATGATAGATATAAAATTAAGTTTTTGGAATGCTAACTTCATGCAATATATATCATATTAAGTGATATTCAGAACACCATTTTCACCTAAAGCTGACTTTATTTCTCTCTATTGGTTGGTTATACAAATAGATATTACAACTATGTGTTTGTAAATCTCTCTTTTCACAAAAATCAAACAGATGGTGTTTTTGAAGTATCTTGATACTGTAAGCATACTTGTATATTGAAGCGATGATTTGATGTTATCTAGTGCTACAGCTACCATAGTGGTTTTCATATCTCTTGCTTTTGTATCTGGAGAAGTGAACATAAAACACATTTATCCTTAAAATGCCAAGAGGATTATTGTTGAAACAATATGCAGCCTTAACATATTTATTCAGAAAACATTTAATTACAAATTACATATTTTGCGTTTGATTTCCTGTGTAATGGACGTCCGTAGATTGTGAGTAGAGATATCATAATTGTGTTTAGTGAAAATAGCAGAGAAGCAACAGTGTTTGACAATTTGAGTGAAGACTTGATTGAAATTTTGACATGGAGGTTGAATAAGAAACTGAACCAGTCTGACTGTCTAGACAGAATGTAGAAACTGAACCAGTCTGACTGTCTAGACAGAATATAGAAACTGAACCAGTCTGACTGTCTAGACAGAATATAGAAACTGAACCAGTCTGACTGTCTAGACAGAATATAGAAACTGAACCAGTCTGACTGTCTAGAGAGAATATAGAAACTGAACCAGTCTGACTGTCTAGACAGAATATAGAAACTGAACCAGTCTGACTGTCTAGACAGAATATAGAAACTGAACCGGTCTGATGTCTAGACAGAATATAGAAACTGAACCAGTCTGACTGTCTAGACAGAATATAGAAACTGAACGGGTCTGACTGTCTAGACAGAATATAGAAACTGAACCGGTCTGACTGTCTAGACAGAATATAGAAACTGAACCGGTCTGACTGTCTAGCCAGAATATAGAAACTGAACCAGTCTGACTGTCTAGAGAGAATATAGAAACTGAACCAGTCTGACTGTCTAGACAGAATATAGAAATTGAACCAGTCTGACTGTCTAGACAGAATATAGAAACTGCACCAGTCTGACTGTCTAGACAGTTGAATGTCATGTGATTATGGTACTCTGTTTTTGGGGTTTGGTGCTTGTCTAGTCTAGAGACTTGTTTTAGTATTAGATTAAAGTTTTGCTGTAATACCTGACAGTAAAGAATTACTGGAAATTAACAGGCAATTTAAACAACACAAATGACAACCCTGAGATATATATACATACAAACAAACCATATTTATTTATACATCACAAACCTGCATCTATAAAAAATCAAGTTTAGCATTAAGGGTAACTCAGCTATCAATACACAAAACTGTTCTAGTGAAATTAACACAGATAATCTTCCTGTCTGGGTTAAGGTGGACAATTATCTATTAAATAATTTCACATTAATTGTGGTTATGCATGTTTTGTTCTAACAATTTACCCAGATCAAAAACCCCTAAGTGTATATTTCGGGCTTAAAATATATAATTATGATATATCTTATAATTATAAAATTGAAATTGCCAAAACTCTGATCAAGTGTAAAAATATGTGTATGATTGAGCTGAGTGCCCATAAAATGACAATAGATGTTTTACACGTGTCATCAAGGAGTTATTTTTTCATTGTTCAAGATTAAATAGAACAACCCTATAACGACCCTATGTATTCATCATGATAAATAAACTGTATGCTTACAATAACTCAACAAAAGTGCAGTCCATGAAACTACTGATAGAGAAAAGAATTTCTTCATGCATGAACTATCAAAATTAAAAAAAAAAAAATGTTTATTTTGGCCATATCGCTTTAGAAAAAAGTCAGTGAAATAGAGGCAATGGTTTACACTGATACTTTTAGGTATGGCTTATTGGATCGACTAAATTCTTCTGAATGTGTTTGGCCCCTCATGTCTGATAAAGGGGTTCCAAGTGATTGGGTCCTTTTTTAAAAGAGAACACAGTTTAATTTTGTAAATTTTCCAATATATTTCCAGTGCATGTGTATTTCATCAAATTATGGAGTTTTTTCCCTTTTCTGTAGGTTTATTGGAGGGTGTCCTAACAATCATCTGAAAGATTAACATCAATCTATAATGTATTTGATCTGAGACAATTTGCAAAGTGTTGATGGATAGTAGATCAACATGATGGCATATGATGTCATATTATTGTGTTGAGATCTAGAAAATATCTACACACTGGTGAATCCAGCTTAACACTGAGTTAATGGGAGGCTATGATGCAGAGGTTTTTTGGGGTTTGTTTATATATACAAAGTTATTTCATTGTATTATTGGAAGACATAATGACTATTAAAATTATAAATAGAGATATTGAACTTTTTATAATTGAAATTTCTGAAACGGAAATAGATTACATAAAACAAAGTTACAATTAAATATCATTTTTTCAGATCAAGATTTTTTTTATGATTATTTTTATTTAGGAAACCGAACAAATTAGACTGAAGAAATTGGCTGAACAGAAACAGGGTAAAACAGCTGAGGTACATCCACGGGGAGAGACATTGTGTGAAAAACGATTTGAGAAATTTGTGAACATAGCCAGGTATGTGCCAAAAGTCTGTGTTTTAAATTTCTCTTCAATTAGGTTGTGGAATGTCCTCATCTGTGTGGGGGTCTTACAAACAAACAAATCATCAGTTCAAAAGATAAGTATGAATTATACTTACGATGAAATGTAAAAATACAAAAAAAAAAACTGCAGATTAATCTAGATTTTCAATAATTTTGGCTATTATGTTAAGGTAAAAAGTGATTTCAATACAAAATTTTTTTTTTAAATTTGTATGATTTGAATGTATCATAACTGAGATTGCTTGTTCTTATTACTGTGTAAGTTACAATACAGACCAACTGAACACATGTAAGCCATTTCTATCAACATCACTAAAATAGGGACTATGATTTGATTACAACAGGTTTCCATCAGTTCTTTAACTTTATTACCTAGTTTTAATTTGTGTCTGGGTTCATGAAGACCATTTTATTGTCAGTCCTTTACAGATGATTAACAGGATCTATGTATCTACCTTTTCTACAAACTACTTACACTAATTGAGATAATTTATGTTATTTTTACACTAATTGAGATAATTTATGTTATTTTTACACTAATTGAGATAATGTATGTTATTTTTACACTAATTGAGATAATGTATGTTATTTTTAAACTAATTGAGATACTGTATGTTATTTTTACACTAATTGAGATAATGTTATTTTTACACTAATTGAGATAATGTTATTTTTACACTAATTGAGATAATGTTATTTTTACACTAATTGAGATAATTTTTTGTTATTTTTACACTAATTGAGATAATTTATGTTATTTTTACACTAATTGAGATAATGTATGTTATTTTTCCACTAATTGAGATACTGTATGTTATTTTTACACTAATTGAGATAATGTTATTTTTAAACTAATTGAGATAATTTTTTGTTATTTTTACACTAATTGAGATAATTTATGTTATTTTTACACTAATTGAGATAATGTATGTTATTTTTCCACTAATTGAGATACTGTATGTTATTTTTACACTAATTGAGATAATGTTATTTTTACACTAATTGAGATAATGTTATTTTTAAACTAATTGAGATAATTTTTTGTTATTTTTACACTAATTGAGATAATTTATGTTATTTTTACACTAATTGAGATAATGTATGTTATTTTTCCACTAATTGAGATACTGTATGTTATTTTTACACTAATTGAGATAATGTTATTTTTAAACTAATTGAGATAATTTTTTGTTATTTTTACACTAATTGAGATAATTTATGTTATTTTTACACTAATTGAGATAATGTATGTTATTTTTCCACTAATTGAGATACTGTATGTTATTTTTACACTAATTGAGATAATGTTATTTTTAAACTAATTGAGATAATTTTTTGTTATTTTTACACTAATTGAGATAATTTATGTTATTTTTACACTAATTGAGATAATGTATGTTATTTTTCCACTAATTGAGATACTGTATGTTATTTTTACACTAATTGAGATAATGTTATTTTTACACTAATTGAGATAATGTTATTTTTAAACTAATTGAGATAATTTTTTGTTATTTTTACACTAATTGAGATAATTTATGTTATTTTTACACTAATTGAGATAATGTATGTTATTTTTCCACTAATTGAGATACTGTATGTTATTTTTACACTAATTGAGATAATGTTATTTTTACACTAATTGAGATATGTTATTTTTACACTAATTGAGATAATTTTTTGTTATTTTTACACTAATTGAGATAATGTTATTTTTACACTAATTGAGATAATGTTATTTTTACACTAATTGAGATAATGTTATTTTTACACTAATTGAGATAATTTTTTGTTATTTTTACACTAATTGAGATAATTTACGTTATTTTTACACTAATTGAGATAATGTATGTTATTTTTACACTAATTGAGATATTTTTTTGTTATTTTTACACTAATTGAGATAATTTTTTGTTATTTTTACACTAATGGAGATAATTTATGTTATTTTTACACTAATTGAGATAATGTATGTTATTTTTACACTAACTGAGATAATGTATGTTATTTTTACACTAATTGAGATATTTTTTTGTTATTTTTACACTAATTGAGATGATTTATGTTATTTTTACACTAATTGAGAAATTAGGTGACCAAATTCTTTTTTGTTCTCTAATCATGAAAATGTGTATACATATAGTGTATATAAATGGCCTATACAAAATGTGTAACAATGGATGACATTAGCAGATTTAGGAAGAGTTATACTACAAAAAGTGCTGGCAATGCAATACTGTCAGTGATAACCTCTCTGGCAGATACTTTTCTTGATAGTGCAGGAATTCACCCATGAAGTGTTCGAGAAACTGTGAGCCTTGTTGTTGGAGAAACTGTGAGCCTTGTTGTTGGAGAAACTGTGAGCCTTGTTGTTTGAGAAACTGTGAGCCTTGTTGTTGGAGAAACTGTGAGCCTTGTTGTTTGAGAAACTGTGAGCCTTGTTGTTGGAGAAACTGTGAGCCTTGTTGTTGGAGAAACTGTGAGCCTTGTTGTTGAGAAACTGTGAGCATTGTTGTTGAGAAACTGTGAGCCTTTTTATTGGAGAAACTGTGAGCCTTGTTATTGGAGAAACTGTGAGCCTTGATATTGGAGAAACTGTGAGCCTTGTTGTTTGAGAAACTATGAGCCTTGATATTGGAGAAACTGTGAGCCTTGTTGTTATAGAAACTGTGAGCCTTGTTGTTTGAGAAACTGTGAGCCTTGTTATTGGAGAAACTGTGAGCCTTCTTGTTGGAGAAACTGTGAGCCTTGTTGTTTGAGAAACTGTGAGCCTTGTTGTTATAGAAACTGTGAGCCTTGTTGTTGGAGAAACTATGAGCCTTGATATTGGAGAAACTGTGAGCCTTGTTGTTATAGAAACTGTGAGCCTTGTTGTTTGAGAAACTGTGAGCCGTGTTGTTGGAGAAACTTTGAGCCTTGTTGTCGGAGAAACTATGAGCCTTGTTGTTGAGAAACTGTGAGCCTTGTTGTTGGAGAAACTATGAGCCTTGATATTGGAGAAACTGTGAGCCTTGTTGTTTGAGAAACTGTGAGCCTTTTTATTGGAGAAACTGTGAGCCTTGTTATTGGAGAAACTTTGAGCCTTGTTGTTGGAGAAACTTTGAGCCTTGTTATTGGAGAAACTGTGAGCCTTGTTGTTGGAGACACTGTGACCCTTGTTGTTGAGAAACTTTGAGCATTGTTGTTGAGAAACTGTGAGCCTTTTTATTGGAGAAACTGTGAGCCTTGTTATTGGAGAAACTGTGAGCCTTGTTGTTTTAGAAACTGTGAGCCTTGTTGTTGGAGAAACTGTGAGCCTTGTTGTTTGAGAAACTGTGAGCATTGTTGTTGAGAAACTGTGAGCCTTGTTGTTTGAGAAACTGTGAGCCTTGTTGTTTGAGAAACTGTAAGCCTTGTTGTTATAGAAACTGTGAGCCTTGTTGTTGGAGAAACTGTGAGCCTTGTTGTTTGAGAAACTGTGAGCCTTGTTGTTGGAGAAACTATGAGCCTTGTTGTTGGAGAAACTGTGAGCCTTGTTGTTGAGAAACTGTGAGCATTGTTGTTGAGAAACTGTGAGCCTTGTTGTTTGAGAAACTGTGAGCCTTGTTGTTATAGAAACTGTGAGCCTTGTTGTTTGAGAAACTGTGAGCCTTGATATTGGAGAAACTGTGAGCCTTGTTGTTTGAGAAACTGTGAGCCTTGTTGTTATAGAAACTGTGAGCCTTGTTGTTGGAGAAACTGTGAGCCTTGTTGTTTGAGAAACTGTGAGCCTTGTTATTGGAGAAACTGTGAGCCTTGTTGTTGGAGAAATTCTGAGCCTTGTTGTTGGAGAAACTGTGAGCCTGTTGTTGGAGAAACTGTGAGCCTTGTTGTTTGAGAAACTGTGAGCCTTGTTGTTTGAGAAACTGTGAGCCTTGTTGTTGGAGAAACTGTGAGCCTTGTTGTTATAGAAACTGTGAGCCTTGTTGTTGGAGAAACTATGAGCCTTGATATTGGAGAAACTGTGAGCCTTGTTGTTGGAGAAACTGTGAGCCTTGTTGTTTGAGAAACTGTGAGCCTTGTTATTGGAGAAACTGTGAGCCTTGTTGTTGGAGAAACTCTGAGCCTTGTTGTTGGAGAAACTGTGAGCCTGTTGTTGGAGAAACTGTGAGCCTTGTTGTTTGAGAAACTGTGAGCCTTGTTGTTGGAGAAACTGTGAGCCTTGTTGTTTGAGAAACTGTGAGCCTTGTTGTTGGAGAAACTGTGAGCCTTGTTGTTGGAGAAACTGTGAGCCTTGTTGTTGAGAAACTGTGAGCATTGTTATTGAGAAACTGTGAGCCTTTTTATTGGAGAAACTGTGAGCCTTGTTATTGGAGAAACTGTGAGCCTTGATATTGGAGAAACTGTGAGCCTTGTTGTTTGAGAAACTGTGAGCCTTGTTGTTTGAGAAACTATGAGCCTTGATATTGGAGAAACTGTGAGCCTTGTTGTTTGAGAAACTGTGAGCCTTGTTGTTTGAGAAACTGTGAGCCTTGTTATTGGAGAAACTGTGAGCCTTGTTGTTGGAGAAACTGTGAGCCTTGTTGTTTTAGAAACTGTGAGCCTTGTTGTTGGAGAAACTGTGAGCCTTGTTGTTTGAGAAACTGTGAGCATTGTTGTTGAGAAACTGTGAGCCTTGTTGTTGGAGAAAGTCTGAGCATTGTTATTGGAGAAACTGTGAGCCTTGTTGTTGAGAAACTGTGAGCCTTGTTGTTTGAGAAACTGTGAGCCTTGTTGTTGGAGAAACTGTGAGCCTTGTTGTTTGAGAAACTGTGAGCCTTGTTGTTATAGAAACTGTGAGCCTTGTTGTTGGAGAAACTCTGAGCCTTGTTGTTTGAGAAACTGTGAGCCTTGTTATTGGAGAAACTGTGAGCCTTGTTATTGGAGAAACTCTGAGCGTTGTTGTTGGAGAAACTGTGAGCCTTGTTGTTGGAGAAACTGTGAGACTTGTTGTTGGAGAAACTGTAAGCCTTGTTGTTATAGAAACTGTGAGCCTTGTTGTTGGAGAAACTGTGAGCCTTGTTGTTGGAGAAACTGTGAGCCTGTTGTTGGAGAAACTGTGAGCCTTGTTGTTTGAGAAACTGTGAGCCTTGTTGTTGGAGAAACTATGAGCCTTGTTGTTGGAGAAACTGTGAGCCTTGTTGTTGGAGAAACTATGAGCCTTGTTGTTGGAGAAACTGTGAGTCTTGTTGTTGGAGAAACTCTGAGCCTGTTGTTTGAGAAACTCTGAGCGTTGTTGTTTGAGAAACTGTGAGCCTTGTTATTGGAGAAACTGTGAGCCTTGTTGTTTGAGAAACTGTGAGCCTTGTTATTGGAGAAACTCTGAGCCTGTTGTTTGAGAAACTCTGAGCGTTGTTGTTTGAGAAACTGTGAGCCTTGTTATTGGAGAAACTGTGAGCCTTGTTGTTGGAGAAACTGTGAGCCTTGTTGTTTGAGAAACTGTGAGCCTTGTTGTTGAGAAACTGTGAGCATTGTTGTTGAGAAACTGTGAGCCTTTTTATTGGAGAAACTGTGAGCCTTGTTATTGGAGAAACTGTGAGCCTTGATATTGGAGAAACTGTAAGCCTTTTTGTTTGAGAAACTGTGAGCCTTGTTGTTGGAGAAACCATGAGCCTTGATATTGGAGAAACTGTGAGCCTTGTTGTTTGAGAAACTGTGAGCCTTGTTGTTTGAGAAACTGTGAGCCTTGTTATTGGAGAAACTGTGAGCCTTGTTGTTGGAGAAACTGTGAGCCTTGTTGTTTGAGAAACTGTGAGCCTTGTTGTTATAGAAACTGTGAGCCTTGTTGTTGGAGAAACTATGAGCCTTGATATTGGAGAAACTGTGAGCCTTGTTGTTTGAGAAACTGTGAGCCGTGTTGTTGGAGAAACTTTGAGCCTTGTTGTTGGAGAAACTATGAGCCTTGTTGTTGGAGAAACTGTGAGCCTTGTTGTTGGAGAAACTATGAGCCTTGTTGTTGGAGAAACTGTGAGCCTTGTTGTTGGAGAAACTCTGAGCCTGTTGTTTGAGAAACTCTGAGCGTTGTTGTTTGAGAAACTGTGAGCCTTGTTATTGGAGAAACTGTGAGCCTTGTTGTTTGAGAAACTGTGAGCCTTGTTGTTGGAGAAACTGTGAGCCTTGTTATTGGAGAAACTCTGAGCCTGTTGTTTGAGAAACTCTGAGCGTTGTTGTTTGAGAAACTGTGAGCCTTGTTATTGGAGAAACTGTGAGCCTTGTTGTTGGAGAAACTGTGAGCCTTGTTGTTGGAGAAACTATGAGCCTTGTTGTTGGAGAAACTGTGAGCCTTGTTGTTGGAGAAACTGTGAGCATTGTTGTTGAGAAACTGTGAGCCTTTTTATTGGAGAAACTGTGAGCCTTGTTATTGGAGAAACTGTGAGCCTTGATATTGGAGAAACTGTAAGCCTTTTTGTTTGAGAAACTGTGAGCCTTGTTGTTGGAGAAACCATGAGCCTTGATATTGGAGAAACTGTGAGCCTTGTTGTTTGAGAAACTGTGAGCCTTGTTGTTTGAGAAACTGTGAGCCTTGTTATTGGAGAAACTGTGAGCCTTGTTGTTGGAGAAACTGTGAGCCTTGTTGTTTGAGAAACTGTGAGCCTTGTTGTTATAGAAACTGTGAGCCTTGTTGTTGGAGAAACTATGAGCCTTGATATTGGAGAAACTGTGAGCCTTGTTGTTTGAGAAACTGTGAGCCGTGTTGTTGGAGAAACTTTGAGCCTTGTTGTTGGAGAAACTATGAGCCTTGTTGTTGAGAAACTGTGAGCCTTGTTGTTTGAGAAACTGTGAGCCTTGTTGTTGGAGAAACTATGAGCCTTGATATTGGAGAAACTGTGAGCCTTGTTGTTATAGAAACTGTGAGCCTTGTTGTTTGAGAAACTGTGAGCCTTGTTGTTTGAGAAACTCTGAGCGTTGTTGTTTGAGAAACTGTGAGCCTTGTTATTGGAGAAACTGTGAGCCTTGATATTGGAGAAACTGTGAGCCTTGTTGTTTTAGAAACTGTGAGCCTTGTTGTTGGAGAAACTGTGAGCCTTGTTGTTGGAGAAACTCTGAGCCTTGTTGTTGGAGAAACTGTGAGCCTGTTGTTGGAGAAACTGTGAGCCTTGTTGTTTGAGAAACTGTGAGCCTTGTTGTTGGAGAAACTATGAGCCTTGTTGTTGGAGAAACTGTGAGCCTTGTTGTTGGAGAAACTCTGAGCCTGTTGTTTGAGAAACTCTGAGCGTTGTTGTTTGAGAAACTCTGAGCCTTGTTATTGGAGAAACTGTGAGCCTTGTTATTGGAGAAACTGTGAGCCTTGTTGTTATAGAAACTGTGAGCCTTGTTGTTTGAGAAACTGTGAGCCTTGATATTGGAGAAACTGTGAGCCATGTTATTGGAGAAACTGTGAGCCTTGTTGTTTGAGAAACTGTGAGCCTTGATATTGGAGAAACTGTGAGCCATGTTGTTTGAGAAACTTGGAGTGTGGAGTTAAAGTATGAGATTTTCTTTTTTAACTATAATGTGACAGTGTTTATAGATGTGATTACATTGTTTCAATGTTCTGTTAACAGTGAAGGGGAACTTGAAGAGGTTTTGACAACCTACACACGCATTAACAAGTCGGCAAGCATATTCCTTGGAGGTGGGGACGCTAGCAGCAAACCTACAAACACTACTGAGAGTAGCGCCTCTCGTCCTAACTCTGTGAATCAGCCCAGAGCTTCTGGCACATCCACCTCTGATACCAGTCTCCAGAAACGAAGGGATAGCGCTTCAAGGGAGAGACGAGACAGTACCTCGCAGGACAGACGAGAAAGTGTGTCAAATGAAGGTGCATCCGCAGCGGAATCTGGGTCCCATAATATTGTAGGCCATCAGGATAAAAACAAAGGTTAGCTTGTAACTTTCTCAATGCTGTGTGTTGCTGCAAAAAAAAATAACCCTCTTTTTGTTTTTTTTACTTATAACTTCTAACAAATTCATAATGATTTATTTTGCTTTATAGATATTTTATTTGCAAAGATACATAAGAGATCAGACATCTTCTTTTGGAAGAGGGGTGGGTGGAACTTGTTTAAAAAGGGTTTATTGTTACAGTTTCCCAGAGAATGGTCCCACAACTCACTAAATTCTGGTAAACATCTAAATATTCTGTGTAGTGGGATTTATAAATAATCAGAAAATTACTGTCCCTATATCATATCTGATGACTGAGAACTAAGATGAGGAATAGATCTGAAAATAAAGATATCGTTATAATTTGATGTGAAACTTTACTAATTTTCTAAAATTGGTTTTTGATTGATTTTTTCATAAACATTAAAAACTGGTGTGAAAAGAGCACAATATTGAAGCGTATATTATTAACAACCTGACCATACAATACAATTATCCATTATTTTATTTCCCTCTTTTTTTTCTTATTTATATTAAGTAATTAGATTTTGCTTATTTAGATCTTTGATTATGTTTAGTGTTAGATTTTGGTTTATATTTAGCAAGCCCACTACTACCAAGCATACTCTCCTCCTGTACTCAAGTTTGTGAGTATCCACCAACTCAAAAGTTTTCCTGACAACTTCTAGTCTGTTGATAATATCTGTTATTTTGTAGATTTTCATTATTTTTTTAGATATAATTATGGTATTTTATTAACTTATATACTTCCTGTCCTCTCTCTCTACCAAACTGGCCATGTTTGGTAGTTCAGTCGGTAGAGCTAATTAGACTTTTCTACCTCTGCTGAAGATCCTGGCTTGGTCTTCCCTACCACAGGAAGTGATTGAAGGGTGGGAGGGGTTTGTGTTGGAAAGCCATGATCACAGATAACCCTGTGTTGGGAGGGTTTGTAATTAGGAAGGATGCTCTATCTCAGTTGCTATGTATAGGTTACAGTGGGCCTCCTTTGTGATTGAGACTTGAGATACTATAGGAATATAGGGATACCATCCTGGTTACATCAAACCTTTAGCATGTAATTTTTTTTAAGTGTGTGTGTTTTTTATAATTGGTTATTTTGCATAGATTCATATGATGCAAATCTACATCAAGATATTAGATAGTAGCTTTGTATAAATAAAATGGAAATTTATCAACATATTGGTACAATCTTTCGTTTCAAGAAGACTAAAACACTCCATGACATTCTCTCTTACTGTTCATAATTCATTCAATACAATAAATTACAGTACTAGTACATATGACCTTATTGATGGAGAGACAAATCGACCACCTGTCGGTGCTGTTATGAGAATAATTCAGTGATTGATATAAATACATATGTAGTTTTATAAATGACTTATATAACTTATATCAAATATATGGAAGAGATTTTATTATCAGGATTTATCATTCCTACAGGATATATGTCTGGCACTTATTCATTTAAAAGTAATTTCCAAATTTTTAATGTTGAAGCTTGTGCCACACATTGTTCATCCATCATGCACACAAAGTTAAAAACAAATGCCACTTTTGTCCATTTTCTCTACTGTAAACTATATATATATGTAATGCACACATTTTTGGTAAAAAAATGTCTTGTCAAAAAGTGGGTGTGTTCTATACGCAAGAACATGACATTCTTGAGGTTATCATTCTCAAGTTCTCTGTCTGCCATATTGGATTATCTCCCTTCACATAGTTATATTGAGAGTTGTCGGTCATATATGATAGATTGAAGATAAAACAACAAAGAATAAAATAAATTTTGAATGTTTTAATGCAATTCATTATTTTTATAAATATAAAAAACAACTTACGACTGATAAATCCATAGAGCACTAAGTAGGAAATGGTTTATAGCACTGAAGTTACATTTCACTAAATAAAGTCATGTTCTCTGCACATTGTGTATACATTATGTATACAACGTGCACACATGTACATCCTACATCCTTTCTATTTGTGTTTTATTTTGTCCTATTCATCAAATTCAGTTTTGCATGCCAGTACTTCAGGCCTGGCAGATTTCTTCTGTATGTAAGTTAGGTCATGGGTTTACAATAGCTCAGTCAGTAGAGAACGGTACTAAGGTAACCGCATGTGACATTAGGTCATGGGTCTACAATCGCTCAGTCAGTAGAGAATGTTACTAAGGTAACCACATGTGACATTAGGTCACGGGTCTCCAATAGCTCAGTCAGTAGAGCACAGTACTAAGGTAACCGCATGGGACATTAGGTCATGGGTCTACAATAGCTCAGTCAGTAGAGAACGGTACTAAGGTAACCACATGTGACATTAGGTCATGGGTCTACAATAGCTCAGTCAGTAGAGAGCGGTACTAAGGTAACCACATGTGACATGTGCGGTGTGATGCTCCTTACGTGTGACGGTTTGTGCTAAGACCAGTCTGTGTCAACATGTTCTGTGGCAAGATACTTTTCCCTAATTGCTCAGGATGTCATGCAATGGACCTTCTGTATGTTGCGAGACCTCAACTCAAAATGAGCCTGGCTGTTCACAGGGAGATTAATTAAGACAAGTTAGGTCATGGTTCTTCCTCACATTTCACCTTGGTCCCGGCTTAGCCAGAGATGACAGGAGTGCTTTTTTCTCAAAGTTGATATTCATATGCTGAATGCCTTTAACACCTTTCTGATATAATCAATGAATAAATTTTAGATTATGTGATGGTGGGTGTCATGCTGAAAGTTGTAGTTTCTGTAGTGTAAAATACCTTTATCTGCTTTCTTAGTTAGTGGCACCTCTCATGTAGGCGACAGCAAGCCTGGCACCTCCTCCTTCACTGCAGGCTCTGGTACCGCAGCTGATGTTGTAGGGCTGAATGGTGCATCCACGTACCACACACCCACACAGTCATCTTATGCAAATGCAGTCCAGATTTACACGCAGAAACTGGGAACATCGAATCGGCCGCGTTCCGCTTCCAGTCAGCGTCCAGGTACAGTATATCCCTTCAAACGGTCGTCTCCTGAAAAATTCAGGCTTTCATACTCTTCTGCGCTTCCAGCTTTTTGGGCTTCATTAAACTGATCACGTAACTACTTTCTATACTTCACAAATAGAAACATTTACATGTATATATTGCACATTTTTCTTTACAATTTGACGCTGGTTTCAGTATTTCAAAATTAATTTTTTACTTTCAATGATATGTTTACATCAAAATGTAATTTCCTTTCGTAGCACAATGCTTTTTTTATCTTTAGAACTGTAAAACTAGATGTAATTTGTGTGGAAGGGGGTTGATTAATCACAGACTTGTTCTCATGAGGTATTCATGTTGGGTGTGAATGCTGATAATAGATAAATGATGAATGTTCGCAAAATGTTTATTGATTAGAAGTTTTACACATGTTATACATTCTCATGAAAGTTTTGATTTAATTAACTGATATGAAATACTAATGTAGTATAATTTACCAAAATGTGTTGATTTAAATAATTACACTCACAATAATCAAAATGAGTCGCATGATATAAAATTTTTCTACAAAATATTTCTTAATTTCAAGATTGAATAAGCCAAGCACACATACACAAACACTGCATTTGCATCGTGGATTTGAAACATACAAAATGAAGGAATCGTGATTATTTCATGAGAGTTGAGATGTAAGACTTCATGTTATCGTATTGTAGCCTCGTCCAATGGGCCACGTCAGCGACCAATGTCAGCTGTATTACAAAACCGCCCCTCCTCGGCCAGCACCTACTCCACCACAGATCCTACTGTTGGTACGCAAGTCAAAGCATTATTGTGTGTTATTTTAGTGTGTATGAAATAAACATTAAGTGACGATTTCACTCGTCCCATTTCTTACATCTGTTGAGTCTGGCACACTCAGAGGAATGCGTTATTATCAGGTTACAACATAAAGAACAGTCATTGAGATTTTTTTGCTAGAAAACTGTTTAGCAATGTATGAGAGTTACAAAACAACTTTTGCCTTTATTCTGTTGTGTAAGCCTGTAAATAACATATTTTCTAGTGTTATACTGTTCTCTTTTTTTCAGTTTATAAATTGAAACTGCTCAAGCTGCTAATAGGCTTGCATTTTCTGTTGCCTCACACTTTCTGTTAAGCTTTTTTTTTTAATGCCCTTACATTTTATAAAGGACATGTATGTATAATGTTACTCATATCCATCACTTCCATCATCTCATCCATTTCATCCAGAATCAGTTTTATCACTCTAGTGACTTTATTTCAAAACATCAAGTGCGCTGCTACTATATTTTAAAAAAAGCAAGAAAATACCAACATGTCAACATAATCATAATCCTAAATCAAATTCAATAAAACTAGGGCAAGGAAGACTCCTGAAAAAGTACACAGAGAATAAGACCAGGTGTTCAGGAAGAGAAAGCATCTTCTGCTTCATCTTTATATAAAGACAATGATAAAGAGAGAGCATGTGCATTCTTGTCTTTTGGACTTTTGTATAATTTGTGTGGATCTGATGGAGTTATAAGCTGACATTTTGAGTAGATTTTGGATTAAGAAGGAGCTGTTGTATACACTCTTTAGATGTTAGACTAGTCTATCATGTTTACTGATGTATTTACATAAAATGCTTTGTCATATTCACAGATTCCTACAATGACCAGGCGATACAGGACGCCTTGCAGAAGCTTGCCCTTCGTCAACAGTCACGACAGTACTCTGCCCACAATGGCACAAGTGCTATAGGACTAGACGGTCAGGTGTCACGACCACCATCAGGAATGATAAACAAACCAATCTATAGACCAATGACGGCTGGTGATATCAGTAATACATACAAATCTACTCAGTCTTTCCCAAATGGCAGCTCGGACAAGAGCAAGGACCAACCAAAGTACATATCTATGGAAGATCACTATGTGAAGTCACGGCCCCCACCCGCCCCTGCACAGCGAATACAGTCTGCAGGGGTCATTGGCCGAAATCGAAATGCGAACGCGACTTTTAATAGTTTCATAGAGGACACTGACGGTACACATCAAGGGGATCTGGCTGTTGCTTATAACCAGGTGACTGGAGTGCTGCCTAGCAACTATAGTGCTGCATCACAGTCCAGCAAGCAGTTTCAGTTGGTGCAGCAACACCAAGCATTGAAGCAGCAAAGCAAAGTCATGCTGGAGCAGAGCAAAGCCAAACACCAAGCTATGGTTGCCCAGGCGTACGCCATGCAGAAGTCACTGCAAGGTCAGGCCCCCAAAGACATGGAGAGTGCTGTACAGAAACCTCCACCAAAACCCCACTATCGACACATGGGTCCTGTCGAGGTGGAAAGTGCCATGCAGAAATATGCTCCCAAACCGCCGACCCAGCCCTTGCACACACGTAAGGCAGGCATGCATAGGGTTCAGAGGTCAGTATCTCTTGTGTGGTTGGTCAGGTATTAAACTTCATAAAAAAATTTTTTTCAGACCAGTTAACCAGAAAGTGAGCATGAACCAGTAGATATATTTTCATTCTTTATTGTAAATGTTTTTGGAACGGCTTTTAATGTCTTGCTTCAATATACCAGCATCACTGTACAAGTATTTAAAGTACTGGAATTTGAACCTCAGTAGGCATGCTTTCTACTAAAAATCGATTTTCTTTAACTGTGGTCGTTTATTTCTTCAGTAATTCACCTAAATGGCGCTAAAGAGGAATAACGTGGTATGTTGTACAAAATATTTCTGCAGCAGCTAGTAATGGTAGCAAACATTTACGAGAGGCTGTGTTTGTCTATAAATCAATAGAGCACATATCAGGATATTTTGTTTTATTACTGGATACTCTTGACAAAAAATAAATAAATAAATAAACACTTTGCATATTGTGTGTATAAAAACACCAAATATTATTATGGCAAATGAAGTTCCAAGACTCTAATCTTTGCAGCCATCTTCAGGCGCCAGGCCTGAAAATACTTCAGGTTCCAGGCCTGAAAACATTAGCGATTTGGAACTTCATTTGCTGTGTTAATGTTTATATACATATAGAAGATACCAGTAAGAAGATCAGTGAAATTAAATCAGATTCTGGGACCCAACTCTTCATATACCCTCCTTTTGATATGTTATGGTGTTCTGTCCCTTTCTGCTGGGTTATCTGAGAGCACACCACCCTGGTTTCCTTTCTATCTAATGACCCCACTACCTTAGATAAATAAGTGTCTGTTCTCTTCAATTGTTGTAACTTTGAGCTTTATCTGTGAGTCTTTAAGTTTTTTTTGTCCATAACCATCTAATATCATTTAAGATACATGGATCTTGAGATAGGTTTTATATTTTGTTAATTTTAAAAATTTATTCATTTGTGTTTTAAGTTTGCTGAATCTGTTTTAGTTAAAGCCAGCTTGCTGCTAGACCCTGCCAATTCTTTTCTTGCAGTGCAATTTAATTACAGAGCAGTACTCCCCAAGAGTCCATCATACACGTCGTCAAATGACAATGAAATTGAGGTGGTTTTTTTCAAACACATTATAAGATAGAATTGTTGTTATATCCTGTGCTGTATTTGTGTATGACAGGAGCGCTGTGGCTGACGAATCACTTAACTTCAACTTTCACAACAGTCTCAAGTATGATATGCACACAGGACAGATGCGACCATCGTCAGGTATATCTAGAGTCCAACAGCTCTCCCCAGATCTCACACAAGCTTCTATACATAGTTAGGATCACTGTAACTATCAAAATAACACAATTTAGAAAATAAAAATTTATTTTATTTATGTAAATAAGATTAATTTTTTTCTTAAATATTATAAAATCTTTCCTGTAATCCCTATTGACTTAAATACTCACTATTTTGATATTGATTTCAATACCACTCTATTATTGTTTAAGTTTGTAACACTTAATCTTTTATTTATTTCATTCTCTCAGAATATTTTTTTACTTAATAAATTTATTCATTTTTCATTTATTGTTTCAGCTCTTAAAATAACAACTTCATCTTGAAAGGCATAAGTGAGATTTATTCTCAAAAATTCATTTTTTGATAGATTTGGTTTTATGAGTGTTGTTTTTTTTTCTGTGAAATATGATGGTATAAAGATATAGTGTGATGTAGTTTTTCCATATCTATCATAGTTTGTGAACGTACTAAAACAAGACTTGATATTTTGTAGATTTAAACACACAGACCTCGATATCACAGCTACTACCTATTTACAATATTATATCTTTGGTTGTACAAAAATTGCATTTCATCCAGATTATATATTATTTCCTGTTCTGTGGATGATCATCAAAACTTCTAGTACATGATGTTTGTCACAACCTGCATACCACGTTTAAATAATTTCATTAGTGACGTTCTTCTAAAATTTGTCAAAAATAGAAATTACAAAATTTGCTACATTATGGGGCTAGTTCACCTCCCCGTCACGATGTTGACATTTCTTTTGAACTTTCCTCAGTCACTCGATGTGTTTAACATTTAGGCTGAAGCATCACTGACAATTGTATGATGAGGATTGACGATTGTTTGGCTCTACTTTACCTTAATTGTAATAAAATAGAGCTTTTCATTTGTATGGTTTTTGTGCAATCTTATGCACAATCTTTTTTTTAAAAGCAGAAACATTTTTGTTTGTCAATATATAAAGATAAGTATATTGAAAATCAATATTGGCATTATTTTTATTTATGAAAATATGTTTATAATTAGAATTTCTGGTCCTAAAATATTGTAACTTATGTTGAAATATAATTTATTATATCAAAACTAAGATTAAAAAATTCCTCAAAAACAATTATTGATAGGAATTTATACAACGATAATTGAAAATAAAACCCAACAGAAGAGTTATGTTAAAAAAGAAAATCAGAACTAGAATTTCTCAAAACGTTCTTAATACAATTTTTATTCTGTAATGAATTAAAATTTATTTAATTTAAGTTTATACAAATACACTTTCAGAACTGTATACTATCATTGTAGGGCATGTTTATAAATTTGGTTCATTAGGGGATGCCAAACAGCAGTGGGTTTAGAGAAATTGATGAGGCAGCAGGCCATTTTCTTCACGACAAACCCACCATCCAGCCCCATTCACCTCCAATTATATGAATTTTTGTATTACAGACATATTATCAATATACATACCAAGTCGCTAAGTTCTCTGTAACATGCTGTTCACATAATAGATACAATGCCTTCTTTCAGTAGCATAACACAAATAGCATCTATACATTATGTCTGTTACGGTTCGTCAGGTCACTGATTCTGGGTCTTAGTTATCTACATCATCAGATCATGCATACATGAAGCTGCCTTACCTGTTGTGCTCACCACAGTTTCAGTGTCTTAATTCTGTGATTCAGGTCTAGTCACAGTGCAGATCAATACATCAAGCTGTCTTACCCGCAATTCCATATCACCGGTTCAGTAGCTCATTTCTTTAATTCAGGTTAAAGTTTAGTCAAGTTCTTAGCATCAAGATTTTAAGTCGTCTTACCTGCTGTTCATGTCACAGGTTCAGTGGCATAATCTGTATTTCAGGTCTAGTCAAAGTGAGATCAACACATCAACTTGTCTTACCTGCTGTTCGTATCACAGGTTCAGCAGCAGGTTGCCTTAGTACAGTTTCAGGTCTAGGCTCAGTCCATAGCATCAGTAATGCAAGCCGTCTTACCTGCATTTCACATCACAGGTTCAGTGGCTTAATTCTGTATTTTAGGTCTAGTCACAACACAGTATCATATACATCAAGCCGTCTTACCTGCTGTTTATTATCACAGGTTCAGTGGCTTAATTCTGTATGTCAGGTCTAGTCACAGCACAGATCGAGACATCAAGCTGTCTTACCTGCTGTTTATTATCACAGGTTCAGTGGCTTAATTCTGTATGTCAGGTCTAGTCACAGCACAGATCGAGACATCAAGCTGTCTTACCTGCTGTTTATTATCACAGGTTCAGTGGCTTAATTCTGTATGTCAGGTCTAGTCACAGCACTCGAGACATCAAGCCGTCATACCTGCTGATTATTATCACAGGTTCAGTGGCTTAATTCTGTATGTCAGGTCTAGTCACAGCACAGATCGAGACATCAAGCCGTCATACCTGCTGATTATTATCACAGGTTCAGTGGCTTAATTCTGTATGTCAGGTCTAGTCACAGCACAGATCGAGACATCAAGCTGTCTTACCTGCTGTTTATTATCACAGGTTCAGTGGCTTAATTCTGTATGTCAGGTCTAGTCACAGCACAGATCGAGACATCAAGCCGTCATACCTGCTGATTATTATCACAGGTTCAGTGGCTTAATTCTGTATGTCAGGTCTAGTCACAGCACAGATCGAGACATCAAGCCGTCATACCTGCTGATTATTATCACAGGTTCAGTGGCTTAATTCTGTATGTCAGGTCTAGTCACAGCACAGATCGAGACATCAAGCTGTCTTACCTGCTGTTTATTATCACAGGTTCAGTGGCTTTTCCCTATATCAGGCTCAAGTTCAAGCTGTATTACCTGGTGTCCATATCACAGGTTCACTTGCTTATTGCTGTATTTCAGGGTCAAAGTTCATAGAATCAGTACTTCATGCCGGCTTACCTGCCGTGCTTTTTACAGGTTCAGTGGCGGGGATCTGTTCTTAAGGTTCATTTCAGGGTCACAATGCATCTATTCAGTTTATTTGCCAGTCTTACCTGTTGCATTTCACTGGTTCAGGAGAAAGAATCTCCAAATTCCAGAGTCAGATGGTCACAGAAATGTACTGTTAGAAGTTCTTTCTATCTAACCTGTTAATTTTCTCTATCAGAATTAATTCAAGTCAGTATAGTATGATAAGTATGCTCTCTTGGTTATACACATAATAATTATAGCTAAATTAATGGAAAGCAGTCTATTAGTAAAGGATGTCAGAGTAAGACACATCTTATGTTTTATTTCCTTTAATTAAGAATCTGAATCGGAATGCCATTTTAATTTGGTGTGATGTTCAGTACATTTATTTATACTTCTTGTGGTGTTATGTTGACTTCGAACTTGTTGAGAGAACACGTGTATAGTATTAGTGCAGTTTAGTTTTGATCGTTTTTGCATGACTATTTCATTATGTTTGGGCTACCTGTTTGTTTGTTACTTATCACTTCAACATACTTGAATTTTGGCCTTATCAATTCAACATACTTGAATTTTTTACCCCAATTCAGATAAAGTTATTACAGTTATGAATCACAATTTACTTAATGTATTTAGTATTCAATATTAACCTGGTGGTTTATCTGACATTTCTTTTAAGTGGCATATACCTGGTGGCCTCACCTGGCCACAGGTACACAGCCACAACATGCTGGGCTCACCCAGTATCTATGTTGATCAGGATTTTCAGTCATTTTTAAATCTCTAGAAATAAACATGCAGAGTAGTAAGGTAAATGTATTTCGTGTTCTGTTCGCATGTTCGTGATGGTATTTATGAAGATGATGGTGATTGGTCGGTGTTCTTTGTGGTTGCAGTTTAATATTTACATTATTAGTATTTTGTTGTTGTTGTTTTTCACTGGAAATTCTAAAAACAGAGGAAAAATATCTATGACATGCATATGAATTTAGAAATGAGTATTTAATTGACCTAATGTTTCACAATACGTAAATAAATTTTTAAAAGAGGGGTTTACTTGACTTGTTATGTTTGTATTTCATACCCATAATTTTAATGTTTGTATAAAACACAGGTTAAGAATTAATGTTATTTGTGTTGATATAGTTCTAAATCCTAAGATGATTCCCCTTGAAAAGAAAAGAAAATTAAAATGACTCAAAATTTATGATTTTGGTTTATGTATTTCATCTGTAGATAAATATATTGCTTGACAAATTACCAATTTCAGACCAACATAGCATCATGTACCGAAAACAGCCTCGTCAGGAATGGCTAGGTAATTGAAATACTACAGAAATTTGGTATACAGGGATAAGCTAGTAGTGTTTTCGTCTTCGTTTTCCTTCACAAACTTTAGAAACTACTATCCAGAATTAGTCCTATTGGCTTTACTAGAATGACTGGATTTTAATGTGAAATCTATTCTTTTCATTTATACAATTAAAAATCGACGAATGATTTATCTAAAATTCTTACTTTTACACCATCTCAGATACTAAAGAGACAATTGAGTTTGAGTTGAACATTTATGATATCCAGTAATATGAAAAAAATTGTATTTGACTGCAATTGTGGTTAGATATTTGATTTATTAGATTCTGTTGAAAGCCAAACAATCAAATTCCAAATTTTAATTTACCCATTATTAAAAAAAAACAGTTAATTTTTTTTGCTATAGATTTTATGTAAAACCGTAACTAGACTTAAAATGTCAATAATTGATTTAATGATTTGCTTTAAAAACTTTCTTAATTCAAACTTCAATTAGAATGTAAGAATGTAAAGAAATTGCAAGACCATTGTGTTTTGTATTAGAAACTTTCATGTGTTACTCAACAAAGTTTTATCTAATAGTCAAAAATACACAAGCCAAAAAAATCAGTTTTATGCAAGAATTTTCATTTTATACAAATAACATGAAATGTAGAATGCTGTTATTTTCTTAGACAATAAACACCCAAGTCCTTATGAAGACATACAGTATCTTGTTCTTTTGAACGTGTAAAATGTTGTTTCTATTGAAGTATTTTCATTGTGTTCTGCTCTTTCCATTATAGCTAATATATTTTTCATAACCTAATAACATATTAAATAAGGTAAACCTGTTTTGTCTGTTTAAAAAATAACATAAATAAAAAAACCTAATCCCCCCCCCTCCTTCTTTTTCTTTCTCAATTTTTTCATGTTACTTTTTTTCTTTTTTTTCATATCTTGAAATATTTTACATGGATACCAACTTTGACAAAGATAATTCTGTTATTTCAGACACATTATTGATATTATCTATGTGAAGAGAGCTATAAGATATTACATGTATTATACATCAGCTTATACATGATTAGTCT